TTTCTGATGCAGCGTTTTAGCAGAAGCACAACATTTCTCCGTATTAGAAGTGTAACTGCAATACTGTCTAACCCTGAGATCATGATGTTCTTAGAAACTGAGACGCCAGAGTTCAGTTACGTAACTCTGGTAGTAAACTAAAGCAGTAAACTAAACTTAAGGTGAGATTCTCCATTAGTTATTAAATATGGAATTGCAGAGCCATCAAGTGTTGAACATTCATTTAAAATAACTCATTTGCACTCAGATGAGATATGGAATATACATGTGGTTCAACGCTACTAATACTACAATATTATATTGCTTCCCCCCTTCTCTCCAGTGATTAGCATTTAAACATGCTTTGATGCTTTGACAGTTAGACTTGCCAGAAGTGAAATTTGGCTTTGAATGAGAAGTGAAACAGGACTTCGGGGCAAAGGGTGTGACAAAATACTAATAAAGTAATTTATTGTATTGCTTCCTCTTGCAATATGTGATCACTAAATATCCATGTTTTGTTAAAATACTTTAATCGCTTCTTGTAAAAGCAGTGTAAGTTGATGTGAAATCAGCCAGCTTGCAGTGAAGAGCAATAAAGCCAAAGGAGGTAAAAGCTGGAGAGCTCAGAGAGCTGCGATAATCAAATCAACAATTAGTTCATTCAGTTTACTCACTATCAAAGTTGAATAATAATAGGTACATTAACCACAATGCACTTACTCTTTGGCTTTTACCCTAGTCAAAAACTCTGTTAATAAACTTTCAGTTAGCCTAAATTCTGGAGGAGTTTGTAAACAACTGTATAGTTTTGGGGGGGGGGGGGGGGGGGGGGGGTGTTTGTTTGTTTTTCGTTCAATTTCTCTGCTATGATTTGTGCGTTTGTTGGTTTTAGCAGAGAGTCATAGCCTGGCATCCTACTAATGACTGGCATGTCCTAGGGAGAAAGAATGAGAGGGGGGAGGAGCAATGCAGACACTTGGCCCAAAAAGGATGCCTTGCTTTGTTTTTCTCATTGACTGGAAAAGTACACTGTTGGAGTATACACAATCCAGTTGGACTGGGGTGGGAGCGAAAAGGATGGAGGGGGTAAAGGACGCAACACTGATTGGCTATTAGGAGCTAGCTGTGTTACATCACTGGGGGTGTTGGTGGAGCACAGTAAACAAAGAGGGAAATGTTTGAAAGACTCTCTGTGCTGCTGGACAGCATGACCACAATACATGCTACTACGCTGCCTCTTCTACCTCCCTACTTTCATTTGCACTTAAAAAAGACGATTATTAAGTTTTATAGAGTTGTTGTTCTTTTTTTTTTCTCCCTTTTTTTTTTGTAAGAAAACAAAAGTTGAGGACTAAGAAATGCCAAATCCAGTAAGTGTTTAAAATCCAGCCTTGTTTACATCCATGAGTGCTCACGGTCGGTGTCCTGCTATTTTCCTGCCTGCACATTGTTCCATACCTCAAGTTACTCCCACCTTTTAATCCTCTTTTGATCAACCTTAAAGGAATGTGTGTCAGACACATGCATACACACAAACACTGGGAATCTCAGTTCATTGAATGGTGGTTGCAGATTTTGGTTTACAACACATCTCTTTGCACTATGTGATGGAGAGTGGTCCTTCTACTGCATACTGACGTGAACTACATTTGCCTTATATTTTTATCAAGTAAATGATACATGTAACAATGTAACTTTGTACAGGTAGTCTCTTAGAGGCACAGAAGGTTTGAGATTGATGTTGTTTGAACTTACATCGTATCTAACGTCAGTGGCTCTCTTGGCGTGGATAATATATTTTTACATTTCCGCTTCACTTTTTTCCCGTCAGTGAATTCTCTCCCTCTTATTTACCAGGTAGCTCCAGCACTTCTGTGCAGACCTTTTCTCTGTTGTGGGAGTTTTTGATATAATTCAAATCCTTTACAGAGTCAATCAAGTTAAATTTTCGGATAATTAAGACAGGATAAGTGAGATAAAGTGATTTATAGTGCCACATTCTCTCAAAATTTACATCCCACCAGCCAATGAGGATTTTGTTTTGATGGCTTCTCTAACAAACATCTGCAATCGGTGGGAACTTGGCTCATGTGGTTTTATACCAAACCCAGAGCAGAACAGGGACTGCTATCACTACTTGCACTTCAAGGTGGTGGAGCTGGTTTCGGTACAAGTAATGAGGAACTCGTTGGCGAGACAGCTCAGTGATGTCTCCCTGTTCTCCTTATAGATTTTCTCTGGAAGTTTTGCTTTTTCTCACCATCAAAATTGTACTGCATTCTTGCAAAAGCAAGTGAATAAATAAATTCTCAATGATTGCAAATGTGACTAAAAGTAGTATGTTTTATTCAGGAGTGTAGTAGTGTTTGGTGGCTGCATAATTTAATATTTTGGTTACCTATGCTGCAGTATATGAGTAATTTGAAAACTGCTGTCATTATTCTATGACGTGAATCAGCCTGTTAGTGATTTAGCATCAAGATCAGTGGCCATAACCATAACCAGGACGAGAAAGAACAAGGGCTTTCTTGGGAGGGAAAGAGGCTAAGGGGCCATTCACTGTCAACTATACACTTAGCAGAGATCATTGAAGACTAGACTGGAAGTTGTGTCCCAGCAGTTGCATAAATTTAAACACCACTATATGTTCCTTTTATAGAGATTGTTAAGACCTTTTGGTTCATTTGATTTATTTATTTATTTATTTATTTATTTATTTTTTATATGTCAGATGGAACATAATTTGAACCTTGAGTAGTGGAGTAAAAACCTTTGTGCTGTGATATTTATTGCTTTTGAGTTTGAGATTTGTGTTTATTTCATCTTATTGTATATAGGATTTGCATTAAGCATGGATACACTTCTATTTTTGCCAGACAGACAAAAATAGAAGTGTATCCATGCTCTAGCTTTTCAGCCATAGCTTAAGACTCTTCTAAAGATTTGCTTATAACATTTGAATAAGAGAACCAAATGTTCTGTGCCACATGCAAACCTGCAGAGTGCCCTGGCTTTTCCAAGTCAAATATGTTTCAGGAAAGATGGTCTACTGAAGGAATCCCGTAAAAATGTGGATAACACCACTGCACTATCAGATAACACTACAATTTATTTAGTTTTGCCTTAAAAAAAACATTTAAAGGTCAATATTGTGGTAAATGTATAGCAGGCCATCTATCTTCTATGTATTGAAAATATTCTGCTGTTGTATCTTTAAAATCTGTTGCAACATGAAATTTACGAAATCGTCTAAGCACTCTGATAAATTTTACTGCACAGCAAGAGGCAGGAAATCAAAGTCACCCCTCTATGATACTTCATTGTTGTTGTTGTTTGTTTGTTTTTTTTCAACTTTACCATTACTGGCTTTGTATTTTCAGTATTAGCTGTAACTATTTTAATCTCAGTGGTGGCAAATATTTGGAATATACTGATTTTTTTTTTTTTTTTTTTTTAATATAGACCTACAAATCTGTATTTAAACAGGTTTGGTGTGCTAATAAAAGTTAAAAAGCAGATGGGTGTAGTGTTAATGAAACATTGGCAGAATTTGCTTATGGACATGTTGTGCTACAAGAGAAGAATTTATACCACACACTTGGTTTACCCTATCACAAAAAAGTAGCTTACATCCCTCTGTTGAACAAGTCAAGGCAGAGCTAGTCTGACAAATAACTACCCATACAATGATTTTAACATTTCAGCATGTATAAATAAAATGAGCTAGAAAGCAATTTTTTTTATTTTTTTTATTTTTTTGGTGGTTTATGAATTTTGCTACCTCTGGGGGAAAAAAAGCAAGAGATGGCTACTTAGCTCTTTTCTAGTATTTGTAAAAACATTAGCTAATCTTCTGCTGATACAGCTTCATGTTTATCATACAAATATGAGCCTGCTATCAACAGCCTTATCTAATGTCTTGGCAAGGAAGCAACACAGGGTATTTCCCAATCAGACTATGCCTTAAAGTTGTCGTGTGTAGCCAGTGTGCTCCCTTTGATCACAATAGAGAAGTAGATTCATAAATAAATGTGTAAAGTATAAAAAAGGTATAGTCATTTCTAGGGATGGGTATCGTCTAGGTTTTATCCGATACCAGTACCAAACCGGTACTTTTGAAACGGTACCGGTGCTTAAAGAATGGAGAACACAAAATTGGTCCAAAAACCTCTCGTTTAGCTGTTTTTTTTGTAAAAAGATAGCAATGTTAGCCTTTTCTGCAGTTATAGGGCATATAAGGTATCACTCTTGGCTGGAAGCAGTGCTTAAACAATGGAAAAAACACAAACTTTGTCCAAAAACCTGTCATGTTTAACTGTTTTCCACTTTTTCTTTGGTCATTTTAGCCTTTTTGGCCAGGGTGAAGGGAGTATCTGCCATGACACAAGAAGACAGCCGCATGTAACTAGTTTGCTAGTTCACCTTACATGCATTAATGTAATAAAGTGTTTAGCGTACTCAACGTGAATTACACACGAACATCATTAGGCTACTCACGCAGAGAAGAACGGCTAGGTTCTTTTTCAGTCTGGTTACTACCGTTTATGTCAGATGGCACCGGATACCGGTACCCATCCCTAGTCATTTCAGACTAATTTAGCAGAAAGAGCTGGTGTGTAATATTCTAGATTTAGAAAACCAAATATTTAGTTGTTGTTTTTTTTTAAAGATAGATTACAATAACTAATGACATGGCTCTAATAGGAATTATGATTATCCCTGTGTTTGCTTTTTCAGGTGATTTGAACCCATTATGTGCAGTATGAGTTTAGAAAATGAGCTTTCTAAAAACAGACACGATTCAAATGGAAATTGTATGTTTGTTCTAGTCGGCGCTGCAATTGCTCTCTCATCACTTCAGTCATTTTACCTCTTTAGGAAACGTCTGAGCTTGTGTTTGGATTAGAACGAGCGCATGACCTTGCATTTTTTTCCAAGAGTCTTGTTCTTAACATGACCATGCTGCTTTGACTCTCACTGTATTATTTCCTAACCTCTACCCTCTGGCACCTCTGCAGCTTCTGCACCAGTCAGCAGCAGCGTGAGTAGACGCCGTGCACCCTCCTCGGTGACCCCCCTCTCGTGGGAGAAACACAACATCGCCGCCATGTCGAGCATCACCATTGACCCTGAGCTCAAGCCCGGGGAGTTTGTCATCAAGAGTCTATTTGCTGAGTTTGCTGTGCTGGCTGAGAAGAAGATCGAGATGGTGATGGCTGAACCGCTGGTGAGTCCACAGGGGGTAAAGTAGATGTAAAGAAACACAGGAAATGTAATTTAATGCACAACATGTGACGCAATATACTGCTGAGACAGCCTCTTCTGTTTTGCAACCAACTGCCAAGTCTTTAACTGTCAGGCAAATGTTATTGTAAATGAGCAACGGCATTGTTGTACATTTAATGTCTTTTACATTAGGTTGCTGTCAGGTTAATATTTGTAGCCTCAAGTCTTAACTTTGCTGTCAAGAATTTTAGCGTGGTTCACTAGCTGAATAGTGGGCTAAGCAATCTGCTATCATGCTGTTAACAAAAGTATCCCTGCTGGGCTCGTCACACAATAATTCTCGTTCTGTCTCTTTCTCTCCAATACTTTAACAGGAGAAACCCCTGTCCCGTTCCCTCCAGAGAGGAGAAGACTCACAGTTTGACCAGGTCAGTTCAGCCGTAGTAAAGATTACGTCATGCATTTATTATGAGTTTGACAGTTTCATTTCCTACGTGGACAAACAACAGTCACACCTCTGTGTGCGCACTGTGTTTAAAACACCAGCTCTACCCAATCAATGCTTCATTCAATGGTTCGTCTGTCCCTCATCTGTAGCTGGTGCAGGACTCTATACAATAGGCGTGCCTGCTACAGAATGCTTTGTTCAGCACAACACAAAGCCAATGAGGATATGGTGGTATAGATCCAGCTGTCCCCATTGTGAGTGAGGGAGAGAAAATGGGTATAGAGAGCGCCAAAGTGAGAGTGTAGAAACGCTGTGTCATCCTCAGCAGTAAATCAGCATCGTGTGCTGGAGTGTATCTGCCTGGCACCATAAGGGCAGAGAGAGGAATTGCATAACTCTCCTGCATGGCATTTGTCATCCAACCACCCTCCTCATCATGCTGTGCTGTACCTTAAACACACAAATGTGCATATACTCTTAAATTGTTAATGCGTGCTGACCTGTTAATGCAGAGGCAGAAGGCACCAGCTCACATGATCACTGACGCAATCACAGTGCTGAGATCTGCAAGTTATTGTGGTCTTAGACATAAACGCCTCAGAAGCATGTGTGCCTTCTTGGAATCCTTTCGATTTGCTTTTAAATACAGTCCTGCTTTGTTTTTTTAGTGATGTAATTTGATACTGCATTAAATAAAGCCATGTTTGTAGTGTTTTGCATGTCTTCTCTCACTGCACTATGACTTAGACACTTACACTCTGTCTTTGCACTTTAAATGCTCAAAGGTGCATTATGCCAGGAAATAACTAAAAGTTTATGTCACACATCTAAATAAGGCCCTGAAATTTAGTTAAGACTAGTGTTCTGTACTCACCCTAAATGCTCCTCATTAGTTATAAGTACTGCTTGTGGAGCAGCCTTCTCTACACACATACTGTAATCTGTGTAGGATTAAGTTTTTGAATCGTGCAAATGCTGATTTTGTGTAGTTTTCGTTGGAATAGCCAGCTGTTATAACAAGCATGTTGTTGTTTTCCAGTTAATAAGCTCTATGAGCTCAATAGCAGAACACTGTTTGCCCTCCCTATTGCGCACACTGTTTGACTGGTACCGGCGGCAGAGTGGCACTGAAGACGAGTCTTATGAGTACAGGCCTCGCTCGAGTACTAAGTCTAAAGGGTGAGATACTTATCATTGTTTCATTCATTCTTAACCTTCTTCTCTCGAACAAAAAGATTATGGGCAAAAATGATTACTTTAGGATTATCTTTTGACTTATTATATTTCCTGTTTTGCAGAGATGAACAGCATCGGGACAAAGATTACCTTCTGGAGCGTCGGGACTTAGCCATAGATTTCATTTTTTGTTTAGTTTCAGTGGAAGTTCTAAAACAGGTGAGTTACCTGACACTCTGTGTTTAATGATTTACACTGCCTATAAAAACAATTTACCAGTCGGGTTGACGAATGTTTACATATGGAAGAAGAAGTGCAGTCACCTATTTGACCTGTTGTTGACACGATCGTTTCCTGGTAACTAGTGAGTGGTTGAGAATGCAGTATATTTTTATTTTTACTGCATGTGGAAGTGCCTTGTTACTTTGGATATATGTCCTGTATATCAGATATGCATTTCCTGTGCAGTTGACGACTTCTCACGGTAATTGATTTATGAAGTACAGTTTTATTACATAAATAGCCAGTATACTCATCCACCTTTTTGTTGCACCCAGTTGTTTGGTTGAAACAACTATTCTCTGCTCTTATAAGCAGCTTGGTTAAAACACTTGGTTTTAGACAGTTATTCATACTCTTGGCTCTGGCTCTGCTGTTCAAACCCTTTATTTGAGATTAGCAGCAAATCAGAAAATAGTTGGCTTATCGTAAAGTCACACTAGAAAAAACAGTGGTTGGAAATCATTGCATGACCAAAATTATTGTGACAATGGGTTGCTTCACAGACCAAGTCTGCAACCACTTGTTGCAATCTTTGACACAACAACACAATGAGAAACAGAAGAGAGATTTTTGGCAAAACTTCACAAACTTCCAAGGTGGAAGAGTACATTTCTAAGGAGGTTAAAGCCACAGTAACACTTTAGTATGAGCAACAACTTTATTGTTTGACTAATGTGTTTTGATAAAATGGCAATAAGATGGAGTCAGTCTGCTATCAGCTTGCAATTTGAATGTTGGCAATTACACACCATCTTTTTGTGATAATATTACGATTAATTGGAATGAATCGGTGAAAATCGTCAGTTTGTTCCATATGACATGCACAGAAATTCACGTTAACTACTCACAGTCAGTATTCCGTGGAAACCCTATAATTTATGTTTGAAGTAGCAATTCAGAAATTCCTATACATGTGGTGGCATTATTTCTGCGGGATGGCAGTTTAACTGAAAAATGAGGTAAACGCTCGACAACCCTGGCTTTCATACAAGAATATAACCACAATGCAACCAGTTTGCAACCAGTTGGCAGCCAACTAGTAAAAGAGACAGATTCCAGACAAGATCAGCTCAGAGTGACTCAGATTGATTGCAGCTTGTTGTCTGTTTGAGTTTATAAATTAGGTCACAGTTCTTTGCAAAACTATTGAGCAATTGCAATCAGTCTGAGTCAGACTGCCCGTGTTTGGAAACAGGTGGCGTTGTATCAAGGGACCTGTGCAACCACCTTGCAATCGAAAGTATTCGCCCAAGGGGTTGCATGCTCAGCCTGGGCAATCAGTTGGTTGCTTTAGCTAATTACAGTTGGTTACTGATGGCAACAAAACCACCAGTTTTTTTTCCTAGTCGCGAAGAGGTTGCAATCCTATTTTTAGGATTATTTCAGCTTGTTTCATACTAAGGATGCACTGAGGGGCTGCACTAAGGCCCCTTGGTAATGCAAATAAACCTGTGAAGCATGCAAAGCTGCTCTAGTGAAGTCCAAGAATAAGAATATGGAACAAATGGGAAATAATACTATTAACTTCTGGTGTCATCGTTTGTGAGACAGTTTGAATTACTGTACTTTTATTCCTGATTCAACTCACCAGTGATTTGCTGACTAACATGTCAGTTTTATTATATATTTGTATTGTTTATGTTGTGGTGGAGAAGTGAACTACAGTGTAGCTATTCAGAGCTTTCCCACTAGGGAGCACAAAGTTAATAAATTCAGTGGCAACATACCAACTCCCAGCTGAGTGTGTTTCTAAAGTGGACTGTTGAGAACTGAGCAGCATTCTGAACTAAGAGCCAGTCCCTAGGGACCAGGGCAGAGTTGTCCTTGGCTTTGCTCCTGAAGGGAGAGTAATGAATGGTAGCAAATGAGAACTATCAATGCTTCTAATAAGACTAATGATTTCGTGTTTACGTCACAGATTCCTCTTCATCCAGTGCCAGATGTTTTGGTACACGAAGTCCTAAACCTGGCATTCAAGCACTTTAAACACAAAGAGGGGTAAGTAAGCATCAAGCTCCAGACAGAGAAGTGACACAGATGAATAAGACCAGACTAAAAAGTGCTGATGAATATACCCTCTTTGGCTTTGCAGTAGGGAGTCAGTCATTTATTTATGTGTGTTTGAGCAGACTGGCTCAATGCTCATTATTTGCATTTAAACAAGGCACAAGTAGCTCTTGTTCAGCATCGTGAGTCAACCGCAAGTAAACACAGTTACTTTAAGTGCTTCTGTTGTTGTGTGAATAGTATTTTGATGTATGTTAAATAATTCAGCAGTTGTTTGACTTGATGCCATATCCTTTATTAATTTCCAGGTACTGTGGACCCAACACTGGCAACGTGCACATCATTGCAGACCTGTACGCTGAGGTTATAGGGGTTCTTACACAGTCAAAGTGAGTAAGCTGAAATGTGCCTTTAAGCGTAAGACTGGACAAATAGTTTACAGTTTTTCACATTTCTCATTAAAAGAAAACGGTCTGAATTGAGCACAGTGTAATAGATGAGATTAGACATTTGTTTGTACAAATATTGCAACTGAATTTTAGAACAATTAAAACCATTTAATTACATTCTTTAGTAATTGCATTTAAATGTGCATTGCCAGGCAGAATGTTGCCTATATACATTACTGTGTACAAACTCTTGTTAGGAGGGTTTTTGTAAGTGCTAATATATCTCTCCCTCTGTGCTCAGGTTCCAGGCAGTGAGGAAGAAGTTCATCACAGAACTGAAGGAGCTCAGGCAAAAAGAGCAGAGTCCTCACGTAGTCCAAAGCATTATCAGTCTCATCATGGGCATGAAGTTCTTTCGGGTTAAAATGTATCCTGTGGAGGATTTTGAGGCTTCGTTTCAGTTTATGCAGGTAAGTAATACTATTTATGCAGAGTATACCTGCAAGTGTAACTTAGATGCGTTTGCAGAATTGTACCAGATGTTTTTTTTCTTTTTAAACTGCTGCCCCTTTGTTCAAACTCAGCAGCTCTCTGTAGCAATGGCTCATATAGCTAAATGAGTAACGATCAGAGGTGAGGTCTGCCAAGAATTGAGTGTAAATGTATTTCAGGCTTTGCTAGGAGCTGTGAATGGAGCACTAGCTTTTTCATTAAAATTTATACAGTGGTTGGGGGGAAAAAAGCACTCGCTGTTCTGTCGTACCATTATCAGAATTTCCTACTGTCTTAATGGAACATGCTACGGTTTATGTCCTTTACTCCCATAGGATCTTGTACCCAATTATATTGTCTGATCACTGCATTTCTTATCACACTGGTTAGGTCTGTCTATATATTTTGCTTGGGTCCAGGCCTGTGATTTATTTATTTATTTATTTTTTCAATTTTCTATTTAACTCATGTAAATGGAGTGTAATGACACGTCTTCATGATGTTTGGCTAGTTTGTATCCGCTGCATTCTTGTTTACATGCATGCCCTTGGTATCCTTCCTAGGAATGTGCCCAGTATTTCCTGGAGGTGAAGGATAAAGACATAAAGCACGCTCTTGCTGGCCTTTTTGTCGAGATTCTCATCCCCGTCGCTGCTGTGAGTAACCAGCAAAGCATTGTGTAATTTTGGACTGTTGCGTAAACATTAAGTCTGAATCTCATTTTGCCAAACTAATGTTCGGTTCATCCTCCAGGCGGTGAAAAATGAAGTCAACGTGCCATGCTTAAAAACCTTTGTGGAGATGCTCTACCAGACAACATTTGACCTTAGTTCTAGAAAGAAGCACTCTTTGGTAATAACAATGACATCTATTCTTTCCTCTCTTCCTCTTCAGCCCTGACCCTGTTTACTTCAAATTTTTAACACTTCCTTTTCTTTTTGTCTCACACTCTATTCTATTTATCCCTTTTGTATATTTTATTTATATATGTCTCTGTATTTATATATGTGGTGTGTGTGTGTGTGTGTATGTATGTCGTATGGTGTATATATATGTATGTGTGTCTTATTATATATATATATATATTATTTATATATTATATTTATATATATATATATAATATAATATATATATATATATATATAAGTAACATACATACATACATAACATCTACATACACACACACAACTGCACACACACACACACACATACACACGACACGCCACACATCACACACATACACATATAGACACACACACAACACACACCATACACATACACACACACATATATAAATAGAGAGACATATATAAATAAAATATACAAAAGGGATATATATATATATTGGAAACTGAATCTTATCTTATCACTCTTCTTTTATTTTGTCAACACCATTATTTTTCCCCCAGACCACCAAGTCTGACGTTATCATCCAGATAATGCTATGTTTAAAATAAATAAATACAGTCTCTCATCTTTGTCCATTATATTTTCTTTTCTAAAGGCAGGCCTTGATTTTCTGTTTTTTCATCCCTGTCTAATGTAACATGTTATGTTGATGATGCTTCCAGCAGTTTTAGTATTGTGCAGATTGCGATAAATAGATCTTTTGGTCTAGGCTTGTGATACTGTCTTTGCTTTTGGTCTGTGTTTAGTGTAGGAGACCTTTTGTTTTCAGATCAGAAGCACATACAAAAAAATTCAGACCTCGTGAGAAAACCAGTTTATTTTGATTCTGACACCGTCTTTCTCCCCAGGCTCTGTATCCCCTGGTGACATGCTTGCTGTGTGTCAGTCAGAAGCAGTTCTTTCTCAACAACTGGCACATCTTCCTGCAAAATTGCCTCTCACACCTCAAGGTAATGTTAGCATCATCCTTTACAATCCAGTTCATTTCACAAAGGTTGAATTCAACAGTAGATTTATATTAAGGTATTTTAAAGTCACTACACTTTTTCTAATTCAGTTCAAGTCTGAAAATGATATTCTGGTGTTTTTATGGTAGCGCAAAGGAACCATACAATTTTTTTTCTTAAAATAATTAATATAAAGGTTATTTCTATCAAAGTAAACAAAATCTTGGTATCCTGATACTGATATGTTGATCGAAGATGTTGTCTTTGTTGTCAAGGGTGTGCTCTGTGGTTCTGTCTCAGTATCAAAATGTGCTTTCCCCTCCATTATCAATAAACCAGATCTGGACAGGAATAGCACTTGATTTGATCATGTCAAAGTAAAGCAAAGTAAAGCTTTTGTTTAATGTATAGAATATGCATGGACCATATATACTCAAAAGTGGACAAAATGGAAACGTGTAAGCAAAAATTAATGTATTTGGTTGTGCATCTACAGCTAATTTCAAAGATGCGACTCTAGCACATTTATATGCTGTACATTTAAAGTAAACCTGTAATGAAATGTAAACTGTAATGCACAATGCATACTATGTTAATTCAAGTGCTGTTTTCACTCAGGCCTTTTAATCACTCCTCGTAAACCAATTACAAAGGGGTCAAACCTGTTTTCCTCCTGTTTCTGACCATTCAACCCAGAAGCAGATTGACCAAATCACTGACTGACTGCCTGACTTAATGACTGTCTTTCCCATTCTACATTGATTGTCCTTTGAGGAGACTGTTTGATCTTCCGGTGGATAAATTACACTTTGCGTCTTTGTGACTTTCTGCTGCTATCCAGTGGTTTTGAATGCCCGTCTGTCTTTTCAGTGATCTCATTCCAGCATTTTCTTTCACTAGAGTGACTGTTTTGCATTTCCTCTGTTTGAAAAATTATAATCAGTAATTTTCCCAAGCGTTGATAGTGATTCTGTGATTGAGATCTGTGATCTTGTGGGTTCGTGCTATGGTTTGACTGTAGTGATGATTTTAGTGATTTGCCAGGTCATGCTTTTAACCTTGTGGCTGCTCTTGAGAGCTTTAAATGTACGGGCTCTGCTTCACTTAACAAATTGCATCATTTGAATACTTGGTAAAAGTCAAATTCAACCAGGTGAGCGAGGTAGTTTTTTGTCTCTACGCTGAAGCGAAAAGTCAAGAATTCATGTTACTTGGTTGAATAATTATACAAGTTATTTACCTTTTATTTATATATCTGCATGTAGTAAATGCACGATGGAGTGACAAAAAATACACACAACGTTTCCAGAGATTATGCAGCCCTGTTTTATAATCTGAACCCCACATGGTTAAAATACAACTTGTTAAGCATGGATTTTGTGCGGAATAACTGAATTGGCCGTTGCTGCTCATTGGCTTAATAGGTGAAATGGACAAATATTGTGGCATTTTTCTTTTTTGTCCTTTGTTTTTCCATCCTTGTGTTCGCCTTGCATATATTCCTTTCTCTGTAATTTCCCTCTCTGTGCGTTTGATTTCTAAACCACAGCACACCTTATTTTACTTTGCTTTTTCCCCCAATAAATAACATCAAAATATATCAAATACAAATGAACTGTTACTTTACTCAACATGCAAGTGATATGTTGAAGAGTTCATTATTTTTCTTTTCGGTTTAGTTGATTTATATACTGTCACACTGACAAGAGTAAAGAGATTTTAATCTGCTCTTGGCATATCTGTTTAGGCTGTGTGTCTTTGTTTTTGCTTATAACTTGCATGTGTCCCTCCCCAAACCCTACATTCTTTGTCTCCTGTTTTTTGACCCTTTTTTTTCACGTTGGCTCGCTCCAGATGCCGTCTAACAACAGCATCCGAAAGCAGATTGAGACGCTGCAGGTGAGTTATCTGGTGACGGTGGCTAGCTTGATGCTCCCTTCCTTTTAACGGTCCAGGATCCTGATCACGATGTAGGCTAGTGCAGTTGTGAAGAGGCTAATCGTTCTCTGGTGTGACATTGAAGCGTTGCTCAGTGAAAACAGTAAATGAAGGGCACACTTGAAGCTATTGTTGTTGCTTTAGGTTTTGTGGGTGAGCTGGTTTGTGTTTATGAGCAGTGGTGTTTTGCTTTCGTGTCTTTGTAGTTAAATAATTTCGTTTTGACTGTTGATACATTTTTGCATGGTGAGATGCACAGTAGTGGGAAAAGTACTTAAATCTTTAAGCTAGTTGCCACAGCATAGAAACACTGTTACAACTAAAACCCCTGCGGAAAAAGTTTCTTTTATATGATAAGAAAAGCATTAGAAATGACATCTACCACACTACACTTACTTATTGCCAAAGTAAAGGAAGTTATCGTATGCTATTTATATTATTAATAAATTAGCATGACCTGTTACTGCATTTAAGTTGTTGATGGATAAATGTGTAAGTTGATAAAGGTGGAGATTATTCTGTCTTTCTGCGTGATGAGAGGGTTTAGAAGAATCTAACCTATAATATGTCGTTTTAAAAAAAAAATTGGTTAATTATTAACATTTGTGTACTTTTTAGCACGTTGAATGCACATTATAGTAGTCATCAGACTGGTGACGATATCAAAGACATCAGGCGTATTTAATATGTGGATGATTCAGGTGTAATTACAGGTTCATGACTATATGAGCCCTACAGTGTTGTAGTGTTTAAAGTGTGGCCTCTTTTTCTTTCACATGTATACCAAGCAAGCTGTTACAGCATATGCAGGAAGAGTAGACACACGGTAGTGCTGCAATAAAATGCAAACTCCTGTTGTTAATTACGTTAAATATTAATGTAAGATTTCATTATGTCAGAAGTGATGTGTTTCTGGTATATATTACCAGAGGGTCTGGCATAGACAGGAAAATATATTTCAGCATTTAATGATGTATTCATTATCGCAGTGATACCTTTAGTTTGCCTGCTGGGTTGGGTTTTAGTTTATGTAGTGACAGCTACACTGTAGTCTCACTGGTGCTTTTTCAATCCTTCACACAAATCGAGTACTTGCCCCACTGGCTGTACTCGATTTGTGGCATCTTGATTATGTTACAAAAGTAAAAGACATTTTAAAAATGCCGTAGTAGGTCAGCTGTTGTGTCGTTTGTGGCTTTGGTGTTCAGTGCCAAATGTTAGACTGGAAAAAAAAATGATGATGATGTTGTGCATGTATAAGAGTTGTTTTTTTTAATTATTTTATTGGTGTTATTTAGTACAGAGCTATTAAAGTTTATTCACATGCTTTAAAAGCATCTTATCACAAGAGTTTATGTTGTTAAAAAAATAAAATGCCGACACTGAGCAGCTCTTTTTAGCTGCACTTGTGAGTCACCTGCCGTTCACTGTACCAGTCTTTCAGTGACTAGATGATACAAAGATTAGATCAATCATTGAGGCACGAAAAGCGTGACAGATTTTGTGTTTGCACAACAGGAAGTTTCACTTCACCTTAATCACAAAAGCATTTGTCACATTTAGTATGACATTTGCTACTTTTGACAAATGGCATAAAGAATCCTTAATTTAAGTAAAAATGAAATCCATATTAAATTAAATGTTTTTAAATAAAAATACACAGATTTGTTAGTTTGTTCAGTGTATTAAGAAAAGCTAATGGGAGATGAGACATTTCGTAATGGTTATAGAAAAGTGTGGGCTATAATCACCTAAAACCATTTATCAAATATCGAATAAAACTTCATGTTAATCATGTGGAAAAAATATAAAGGCATTAACTGGAAAATCCCTCACACTACGATCACATCACATTCTCTCAGCCTGGTAGCTCTAAAGAACCAAAGACCCTTTAAATGTATACTGTTAATATAGATACCTGATGTAGGATGCAAGTTGGAAGAAAGAAAAGTGTGAAATATCTACTGGACAATGAGTACTCCAGGACTTAACTAATGTACAATTACATTTAATATTGAATGTTTGCATTTTACAAAGCTTGCTTACAAAAGCCCAGTTAATTTTCCGGTGATGACTCCACATGGCTTACAGTAACTGTCTTTGTACTCAGCGTAATACTGCATTTTCCTCCTTTTGCTGCCGACTATACCTTAAAAATTTCTCCAAGCATGAAGCTCATCAGACCATGTGGATGTTCAGTGCTCACATATCAATTTGTGACCAGCAGTCTCACAAAACAATTTTGTCATCAGTTTCTTGCATGCCATTGCAATGTGTTTAATCAAAGTTTCTCCAGACAACAGCAACAAACTGGTCTCTCTCAGGTAAGTAATGAAAGTGTCAAAATGGAATGGATGGCTTATCTTTCTTTCCTTCTCTCTCTCTCTCTCTTTTGACATCTACAGAATAAAGACCCAAAGATGTCCCGTGTTGCACTAGAGTCACTCTACAGACTGCTGTGGGTCTATATCATCAGGATCAAGTGTGAGAGTAACACTGTCACGCAGAGGTCAGTTGCAGAGTACCCAGCAAACAGTCTTTTTGCCACCCACTACTGTTGTCCTCTTCCTAAGAGGCTTTGTATGAGAATACTTGTAGCTAAAAAAACAGTTTCCCCATTTCCTCTTGCTAGTCGACTCCTCAGCATCGTTTCAGCACTTTTCCCCAAAGGCTCGCGCAGTGTGGTACCCAGAGACACCCCCCTCAACATCTTTGTCAAGATCATCCAGTTCATAGCTCAGGTAAGCCTGGAGCACAAACTATGACATACTTTAAAATCACAGCAAAATAAATAAAATTAGGCGAGTATGAGGTGTGGTTTAGTGATTGCGGGTTTGCTGATTATTACAGGAAAGACTGGACTTTGCTATGAAGGAGATTATCTATGACCTCCTGTGCGTGGGCAAGTCTCACAAAACCTTTACCATCAATCCAGAGGTAATGTATACATAAGACTTTAGCTTCTGGTAATGAGGGAATGTTTGTATGTTATCTCTTATCCGCTTTGTCTCTCTGCCCAACCAGAGGATGAATATCGGTTTGCGAGCCTTCTTGGTGATTGCTGACAGCCTACAGCAGAAAGACGGGGAACCTCCAATGCCTACTACAGGGATCATCATGCCCTCTGGCAACACCCTGCGTGTCAAAAAGATCTTCCTCAACACCACCCTCACTGATGAAGAAGCAAAAGTGATAGGTGGGTTTGAGTCTTGAACAGCTGACATTTACAATAAGAGTTAACATTGGATGAAGGTGAGGCAGCTTTTAACCTGTCCACCATCTTTTTTTCTAGGCATGTCGCTATACTACCCGCAAGTACGAAAAGCCTTGGATAACATCCTGCGACACCTGGACAAGGAAGTGGGACGCTCCATGAGCATGACTAATGTACAGATGTCCAACAAGGAGCCTGAGGACATGATCACGTATGTAACAACAGCTTTATGCTCTCCTATTGCCATCCATGCAGCTATGTAGGACTTAGAGTTCCAGTCAAAGGCTTGGAAACCCTGACCCAGTTATAAACTTTGAGTGGTGCTGTATGACCTATTAACAGGTTCTCATAAATTGTCTGTCCTGCAGGGGAGAGAGGAAGCCAAAGATCGATCTATTCCGAACGTGTGTGGCCGCCATCCCAAGACTGATACCAGATGGCATGAGCAGACAAGACCTAATAGAGCTTCTAGCCAAGTAATTGACCCCCGCCAACCTTTCTGCAGACACATTGCTGCACACATCATGTCTTTTAATATCCATCTTCCTGTTGGGTCTCTCTCCTCCTCTAGACTAACCATCCACATGGATGAAGAACTGCGTGGCCTTGCCTTTACTACTCTTCAGGCCCTGATGGTGGATTTCCCAGAATGGCGAGAAGATGTACTCTCAGGTTTTGTCTACTTCATAGTCAGAGAGGTGACTGACGTTCATCCCACACTGCTGGACAATGCAGTAAAGATGCTTCTACAGCTCATCATCCAGTGGAAGCAGGCAGTGCAGAGCAGCAATAAAAGCCACGATTCACAGGTTGGTTTTTGGATCACCAGTGTAGTTTGTATTCATTGGTTTTATGTTGCCTGACAAACATGTTTAAAATAAATTAAATGTTATTTTTAACAGAGCTCAAGCAGTGGCCGTTCTCTGTCCTTGGAGCGTAACCTTCCTTTAGGTGTGGTGCATGTGGTGGAAGGTTTGGCACTGGTGGTGCTTTGTAGCTGCCGCCCTGCCACGCGCAGGCTAGCAGTCAATGTCCTCAAGGAGGTCAGAGCTCTCCATACTGCACTGAGCATTAGCAAGGTAATTTTCTTGGGCTTACAGGGGATATCGTTATGTTGAAAGAAGCAAAATATGTTTAAACCTGCATGGAAAGAAAATGATAATAATTTTGTGCAAGGACAATTGCATTCAATTTTTTCTTACTTAATCTTTCAGGGAGATGAAGAACTGGCTATTGATGTAATGGATAGATTAAGTGCATCGGTGTTGGAGAGCTTCATTCACCTCACAGGCGCTGACCAGGTATGAATGGATTTTCTTTTCTTTTTTTAAAATCCTAAAACCTTTAAAAGTACATACTGCTCATCATCTTCTGTTCTTCTCTGTAGACCAACTTGTTGTATTGTCCCAGTGGGATTGATCTGCAGACGCTAGCAGAGTGGAGCTCCTCTCCCATCAGCCACCAGTTTGATGTAGTGAGCCCCTCGCACATTTGGGTGTTTGCCCATGTTACTCAGGGCCAGGACCCCTGGGTCATCAGCTTATCCAGCTACCTGAGACAGGAGAATCTACCTAAACATTGCCCCACCACCATCAACTATGCCTGGATGTTTGCCTACACTCGCCTGCAACTACTGTCCCCACAAGTTGACATTAAGTAGGTTTCCTTAACTTCTTTGTCATTGTGGGTGTATTCATTATGGTCTGACTCTGAATACTGGGTGATGATGCCTACATGATGACATTATGTGCTTACTTAGGCAATTAGTACTTTTTTACAAAACATAACTCTTATGCTTATTAACTGGGTTAATTCTATGACAAAAGAATTCTGATTAAAGCTGCATTTTATGTTGACCCTCAACATAAAATTTATCTCTTGTTTTTACTGAATATCCACCTGCAGTAGCCCCATCAATGCAAAGAAGGTCAACAGTCTGAACAGCAGTGACTCCTACATTGGTCTTTGGAGGAACTACCTGATTCTCTGCTGCAGCTCTGCCTCTCCCTCCCCTTCCATGTCTTCGTCATCCTCCACCTCTGGCTCCGTCCGCTGCTCCCCGCCTGAGACGCTGGCGTCCACGCCGGACAGCGGCTACAGTTATGATTCAAAGGTGGCAATTTCATAAGCAACACTCTATGCCAGGTTTTCACACACATTCATAAATATTTTAAAATGAAAGGTTAGGAGCTTTTGCACAAAGGATGAAATAATGAAATTCACTCACAATGCAAGTATGACAGTCTCAAATGATAACAGCACACTAGCCACATAAAAATCTGACAGCCGTAAAAAACTAGAGGATTTTGAATAATTTATTGCAACACTTAAGCCTTACATTTCTGCTCTGTGTGTTAACAGATTGTTGGCACTCCGTCCCCCTCCTCACTTTTCAAACACATTGTTCCAATGATGCGCTCTGAGAGCATGGACATCACCGAGTCTCTTGTGCTGGGGCTTGGCAGGACCAACCCCATGGTCTTCAGGTAATGAGCACTATACACTGCTATACATTTTTAGAATTATAAAGACTTTTTAATGGCTTACATATATTGTTTTCTTGTGCAGAGAATTGATGGAGGAACTAAATTCCATCATAAAGGAAGCTCTAGAGAGAAGACCTGAAGTAAGTGCCCTTCATTGATGGTTTGAAAATGTTTTCTGTATTTCTTCTGTGTGCATAGAAACACACTTTACTGAGTTCAAATATTCTTTACTCTGCAGAACATGAAGCGACGCAGGCGTCGTGACATCCTCAGGGTCCAGCTGGTCCGGATATTTGAGCTACTTGCTGATGCTGGTGTCATCAGTCAAGTGTATGTAATCCTCAAACATCTAGAGTAACCACATGATTAGGAACTTATTTTTATATATGCAGTTTATAAACTTTTCTTTTTACAGGGCAAGTGGAGGGTTGGATTCAGAGAGCCATTCTCTGAATAGTACGCTGCTCGAGTATGTTGATCTGACCAGGCAATTGCTCGAGGCTGAGAATGACAAAGACTCGGACACTCTGAAGGACATTCGCTGTCACTTCAGCGCACTTGTGGCCAACATCATTCAGAATGTCCCAGGTATATCTCTTAATTAAAACAAATGCTTATAAAGTAAGCATACAAAGTAAGCATTTGTTTTAAGCAATTTTTCTCAGTTTAACCTTGTGTATCAATTTCTTTACTTATTATCTTCAGTGAACCAGAGGAGGACCATCTTCCCCCAGCAATCACTGAGACACAGTCTGTTCATGCTGTTCAGTCACTGGGCTGGGCCCTTCAGCATTATGTTCACACCCTTGGATCGTTACAGTGACAGAAATATCCAGATCAACCGCCATCAGTACTGTGCACTAAAGGTTCAACATCTAAAAATTTCAAGAAAATCTGCTTTTTACATACTGTGTCATGCACTTACTGATAACCAGCAAACTTTTTTTGTTTGTTCCAGGCCATGTCTGCAGTGTTATGTTGTGGACCTGTAGCTGACAATGTAGGGCTCTCCTCTGATGGCTACCTCTACAAGTGGCTGGACAATATCCTGGATTCTCAGGACAAGAAGGTCAGAGAAATTCTGCCATTTTGAATCTATTCTAACTAAAATTGTATCACTTAACTATTATTAACAAGTGGTGAATCCACAAGTAATTAAACTTTAGCAATAAAACTCTCAATAATAATATATTTTTTATAATGGGTGATGTTATAAAATCCATGTTTATGTAATGAGTTTGTGTAATAAAAATAATTATTTGCATTATTTAAACTAATGTGTTTTGCAGGGTAGCTCATAAAAGACATTTTGTAAGGAAGGTTTCATTACTACTGCTGTTATGTCAAAACCACTGGTGTCTCTGTCTCAGATCTATGCAAAAAGTTTCCTTCAGTGTCAGACCTGTGACTCAAGCATGGTGGCAATAGTGAAACAAGTCTGAATGCCATCTCCTCATATTTCAAACCACAATCGTTTCCTCCTGAACCTAAACAGTGGGTGAAACCTAAGCTTAATCATGCCTTTTATAATCCAGTTAAACTTTATATTAGCTATCTAAATCAAGTTTATATATGCACTACATATTTATAAGGTTAAATGTTAGCTAATTACTTTTAAAGTATAATAATTATGTCTCTGGTCATTAAATAAATGTCACACCACAAAATCCCAGTATTATGACCAGTCACCAAGCACGAGTGGTGATGTTTTCTCACAGATAGCAGGAGTTTAGTCTGTGACGCAAGACTTCATGAGGTCAAAGTTATGTAGCACACATTTACTTCATTTGACACTAGCACCACACAGTGGTGTTCAGAAGTACTGCAATAAAGCCCTGCTAAACGTTTATAGGTCTACATTCAATAAATGACTTGCACTTAGTTAAAATGGTAGGTTAAAGTGATCTGATTAATTCTCAAATTCTTAAAAGTTTTAATTATAGTTATGCTGTTGTAAAGTATATATTAGTTTTCTGCAGTTAACAGCAAACCTCGGTCTCATAACTCTAATACTGGGTATTTTTCATTTGATATTAAGAAGTTATGTGTAAAACTCATCAGAGTTTTGTAGACTGAAGGAGAGATTCTTAACGGTTGCTGTGTGGTTTCCTTTAGGTTCACCAGCTGGGTTGTGAGGCTGTGATGTTGCTACTAGAACTGAATCCAGACCAGAGCAACCTCATGTTCTGGGCTGTGGACCGCTGCTACACTGGCTCCCGTCGTGTAGCTGCCGGCTGCTTTAGGGCCATTGCCAATGTCTTTCACAACAGGTACCACATGGTGCCATCTTTATGTCATTTTTTAAGGTTCCACCTACTTGTAACTTAAATACCGTATGTGTTATATTTCTTTTAGGGATTACCAGTTTGACACTGTGGTGCTGCTCAACCTGATTCTGTTCAAGGCGGCTGACTCTTCCAGGGAAATCTATGAACTGTCCATGCAGCTGTTACAGGTCAGAATTTCTTTGTCCTACACATACTGTAGATGCCCAAAAAAGAAAAAATTGGGTCTTTAATCATTAATTTAATAATCTGTGGTTCTTTGTGTGATGCAGATCCTAGAGCCCAAGCTTTTCCGTTATGCCCACAAATTGGAGATTCAGCGGACTGATGGCATCCTGACCCCTCCCTCACCGCTGCCACACCTCTACTCTGTGTCTTACTACCAGCTGTCTGAGGAGCTTGCAAGGACTTACCCAGAGCTCACTTTGCCCATCTTCTCAGGTTTGCTACATTGCTGAATGAATACACATCAATGTAATATGATAAGTATTCCGTTAACTGAAATATCTCACTTTCCTTTGACTGTGAAACCAGTTATTTTAGGTCTTTTTTTTATTTTTATGAGAAAAGATTTTTGCTCATAAAACTTGATAGTCGGCTAATATGGTTTCTGTTTTTGCTGTTGATTGACTTTTTGGGGAGATAAGAACGATTTTCCCATTCAAATTCGGCTGTATATTTCCATTCAAGGTCCTTTTTTCATTTGTATTATATTTAGTATTATAGCTAAGTTCATTCAAATGGCATCCTAGCCACTCTGGTAACTGCCTATGACACTTAAAAAGTTAGCTTTTTCCCACTGAAAATTATACTTTTACCCCCACTTCAGCTTTTAATTGAGCCATATGTGGCTCGTGACTGTAAGGAGTTTGACACCCCTGTGTTAATGTCTTTGTTTGTACTATCCACACTGCAGAGGTGAGTCAGCGTATCCAGACAGCACATCCTGGTGGTCGTCAAGTAATGTTGCACTACCTCCTACCTTGGATGAATAATGTGGAGCTTGTTGACTTCAAACCAACTCCACGACGACCAGAGGACTGCTGCAGTGGCGAGGATGATGAGGATGTGAAAGACCGAGAAATTATGATGGTCAATAGCCGTCGCTGGCTCCGTGGAGAGGGCTGGGGATCCCCTCGTGCTACAACCATGGTGCTAAACAACCTCATGTTCATGACCGCTAAGGTGACACAGCTAACATACCATCTATGTTTGCACTAAGTACCGCAGCAATTTCCTAATGTTGTAAACCTGCTCAACATGTGGCAATAAAAACCCTTTCTGATTCTGATTCTGATCTACACATCTACATCTTAAAAAGCTGGTTGGGCAAGTTCATTTATCATTAAACTATTATATTTTTTTTTAACAGTATGGTGATGAGTTTGCGTTGTCAGAGATCGAGAATGTCTGGACTACATTAGCAGATAGTTGGCCAAAGAACCTCAAAATCATTCTTCACTTCCTCATCAGTATGTCTGGAGTCAGCAGTGACCCCAGCCTCTTGCCCTATGTAAGTTGCAGCACACTCAATGTGCCATGCCCTTGTGTCTGATACTTAATCTTCATGACTTTTCGCCTCATGTTATGCGTGTCCTCAGGTGAAACGAGTGGTGGTTTTCTTGGGCAGAGATAAGACTATGCAGCTGCTGGAGGAGTTGATGTGTGAGCTTGAGTTGACTGATCCTGTCAGCTCAGCTGTCACTCACATGGACAACCCCCCTTATTATCGCATCAGCTCCAGTTACAAGATTCCTTCAGTCACCTCAGGTTAATGAGCATTATAAATGCCCAAGTTCACAGCTTAGGCCAAGAGGTCATATGCTATGTTTCTGGTGCCAGGAGACAAATGTTTGTCTACTTTCTCAGGAACAACCTCCAGCAGCAATACCATGGTGCCAGGAAATGATGCTCATCATGACAGCAAGATGAAAGACTCAAACATGGATGACAGGTACAAAATAGAGAACTGCAATGCTCTGTTATTATTAGATGGTATAAGTATAGGAAAAACACAAATGTCTATGTCAGGTCAGTCATATTTTATGCTGAAGACATGAAAAAGCACATGTACATCCATTCAGGAGTTTAAACAAAAATTAACCAATTTTTATAATGGTGGACAAAGATACTCCACTAAATAACTAAAATGCTGTATTAACTAAAACTAAAACATACAACCATAGTAAATGTTTTACTGGGGTCATGAACTGAGCAGTTAGATCGTTTTCTCAGACTCCTGTAGAGTCTTTTTGCCACTTGATTATACGCCCTAAATAAATACAGGTTTAAAGGACTTTCAATGGTTTTGTTATATAGGCCCTCAGGCTGCATCCTTCTTTTGTATTCAATCTGTGGCTTGATGAATTAAACGTTTTAGTGAGGGAAAAGTGGCATTGTCCTTCTAAACATGCATGTTTGTTATACAGTTGCACACACCTGGATATCTACAGTGGTCTGAATAGCAACCTGAACCGCCACCACCACCGTCTGGAATCTCGTTACAGCAGCAGCTCTGGAGGCTCTTATGAAGATGAGAAGAGTGAGCAGGAAATCTTTTCTTCTCCATACTCACCACTACATTTTTTTATACCACCCACTACCATGCCTGCTAATCTTCTCTATTTTCCAGGTGACTCCATGCCGCTTTATGCTAACTGGCGATTAAAAGTGATGGATCACAATCAGCCAGAGCCTCTTCCCTTCCCACCAACAGGAGGCTGCTGGTCCCCTCTTGTGGACTATTTGCCAGAGACAAACACACCTGCCGTACCTCTCCACAGGTACACCAAAGTCCACTTTTTGTCTCACAAAGCATTGCAGTGTTGAGTTCTTTTTATAATCCAGTACACTTTTTCTGTTTTTCAGATGTAACATTGCAGTCATCCTACTCACAGACCTCATTGTTGACCATGGGGTCAAAGTAGAATGGAGTGCCTACCTACAACTCCTGCTACACGCAGTTTTCTTAGGTAAATTGCTTTCTTTTTGTGCTGTTTTATATGTTTGTATACATTAAGGCAAAATGTTTTAGGCATATTTGGATTTTTGCATAAAAAACCCTTTACTAGGTCTATAAATTCCAGTTGAATGATGTCAAATGTCTTCATCTTTTGTGTCTTTCTCAGGTTTAGATCACCAGCACCCAGAGGTCTATGAGCACTGCAAACGCCTGCTGCTTCACTTGCTCATAGTTCAGGGTGCAAATAGCAGTGTTCAGTCTGTCGCTATGGTGCTTTTACGCAACAGAGACTACAATGATCCAAGGGTCCTGACTGTAAAGCCTGTAGCTCAAGAGTTCAACCTCACAGGTTAGTTCTGCTACAGAAACAAGAACTGGAAGAGAGCAATAATAATGAGAATCGCTGTCTTATAGTGGAACATGTGCGGATTCGCTATCAGCTGTGGAAATGATTTTTTGTTATTTTGAAATGAGGGAAAAACAACAGGTCAGGGAACAGGACACATACAGGCGTAGTGCCGAACATGACCACTGGGTGGCAGCAACCTCCTGCCCACATATAGACGGATTTACACAATATCATTGTTCCACAGAAAAAGGTTCCCTGAAAAAGACCCTATTATTTTCTAATTCAGAAATTAAGATAAAGTAATGTGTGTCTATACAAAAAGGAGAGCAGTGAATCATATTTTTATACAGAAATCATTTAGCCTACCTTCACTTTTGGACACCAACTTATGGTCTGCTTATATTATTAGCAACTGTACCTTTAATTGTGTTTAGCCCAAGCTAGCCACCTGGCTGGTAAAATGCTAGCAGAAAAACTGACAATGTGTTTGCAATTTGTTCCTATAGGAATACAGGAGCTTTTGCCAGATTGTCAGCCATCACCGATGACAGACTCTGGCCTCAGCTCGAGCTCGACGTCGTCCAGTATAAGCCTTGGTGCAGGGGCCAGTGCTGTGTCCCACCTCTCTCCCACGCTTCTAAGTGAAGTAGATGTCACTGTTGAACATGACGAGAAGGCCAAAGCTCTGATTGAGTTTATAACTTCAAGGTGAGAAGAGACTTTAAAAAAACTTTCCCAGAAATGTATGACATTTATGCGTGTCACTACTTGCTGCTGGCAAGAACTGTCTTTTTTAGCATTTAGAAATGTATATAACCTCACATGTTTAGTAGGCATTTCTATGAACACATTGTTAGATGTTACTCATTGTGTACAATGATTTGCTTTCATGCTTCCAGCAGTGTCTAAAAGGACTGGGGTACTTTGATTTGCATGGGTTTGATTTTTGGAGTTAGTTTCTTTGCTTGGTGTGATAACACTAAAGGTTTTGATAGTGTTTCAGGTCATTTGTTCATGCATGTTTAATTGTATATTGTAGAAAACGCGGTCCGCTCTGGAATCACGAGGATGTGTCACCTAAGAACTCCAACATTAAGAGCGCTGAACAGCTGAGTGCTTTTGTCAGACATGTGGTGACAGTCTTCAAGCATTCCCAGACAGGTCTGTAGGGTTCACAGCCACTTGATATTTATTAGGTGCTTTTGTCATATTTACCTGTTTGTGCTTGTGTATCCTTTCAGGTTTCCAATTGGACTCATTGCTGAGTGAAGTAGCTTTAAGGTCAGCTCTATCTTGTTCTTCTCGCCACTATGCCGGTCGCTCTTTCCAGATTTTCAGGGCACTCAAACAACCTCTGACTCCTGCCACACTGTCTGACATTTTGTCTCGGTTGGTTGAGACTGTAGGAGACCCTGGAGAGGAAGCTCAGGTCAGAACATTTTTAGCAAAAGTCTGGTCTTTTACCTGCAATGTCAAAATGCATAACATGAAACAACATTTTAAAGGTTATATTTAATTTGACCACATGATCATTCAGCTATTAAAAACATTCCTGCTTGTGTTACAGCAAAATATTGCATAGAATGAGGTTTTTAATAGGACATGGCAAAACGTCAAATGTTCATTATTTAAATTGCGTGTGGTTTCATTTTGTTTGGTTTTAAAGCAACTTTGCCAGTAAAATTCATACATTTAGCATCATGATTTTGACACTTAATGTATAACAGTGATACAGCGGCCATGCATAGACCAGTGTCCTTTACCCTGTGGCTGCACTGAATTCCTCACACATGGCGCATTTGCAGAATCTGTGCTGCAGCATTGCACTTCCACTATAATCAATGAAAGTAGCTGCACTGAGTGTGAGAACAGCATTTAAGTCATTCATATGTGTGGGGAGATCCATACCTCAAAAAGAAAAATAGGTTAATTTTCTATGTCTTTTATGTGTTTATGAGAGGTGTGCAAAGCCTGTTCCTACAGAAATAGTTAACCAGTTCTTGTTTAACTGCATCTACACAGAAAGTTACTATCGGTATATCATTTTTAGTTAATGTTTGAGGACAGACAAAGGTTTAAAGAAAGCATGAATACTATTGATGAAGAAGCGACCTTCTTATCTTGTTATGCTTTTACATTTGATGAGGGGTGACTGCAGTAACATAATGTGATCAAATTATTTTCCCAATGGTTTAGGTTTAGTTTACTTTCCCAGGGCCACTCTTTGTATCGTCAAGCACATCATGTGCCAAAAATATATAGTAAACGTGTTGCATCAAACTGGAAAACAGGCCTGTGAGTTGTTTCTGTAGAAAAACATAGATGCTGTGTGTTAACTCGCTGTTATCTGTGAATTCTTTCTGACGAGCTGGCCTCTCCTACTTTTTCTCCTCAGGGCTTTGTCATTGAGCTTCTCCTGACGCTGGAGTCTGGCATTGACACACTAGCAGACACAGTGAAAAACTATGATCTCCTCACTGCCTTAGCACAGTAAGTCCTCTCTTTGGTAGTTTTATTATTTTAATGTTCGAATTCTTCTTACTTTAACTAACATCCTGACACATTTTGCAATAGCTGTGTGCAAAATTCTGCCATTTCTTTCCACAGAACCTCCACCCACGACCACTTGTTGGGGGCCAAGTTTGCTGCCAACAGGAAAAGCACAGGCCAGCTGAATATGAACAGTAGTGGTCTGTTACATTATGTCCACACTCGCAGCAACTCTCTTCGAGCCAGCCTGATGATGGGTGAACGAAAAGCTGACAGGCGTCGGAGTAACACCCTGGACATTGCTGACCGACTTGGTGGCAGCTATGCAAACCTGGCTCGCACACGGAGCTTATCATCACTAAGCAGAGGAGGTCCAGGAAGTCCAGGAGGGGACTCTATGCCACCTGTGGACCCTTCAAATCTGATGGCCACGGTATTCTGGATCGCCGTGTCATTGCTCGAGTCAGACTACGAGTTTGAGTACTTGCTGGCTCTGCGACTGCTCAACAAGCTGCTGAGCCAGCTGCCCCTGGATCGTGCGGACAGCCGAGAACGTCTGGAGACTGTCCAAAACAAGCTGAAGTGGTACAACTTCCCTGGTCTGCTGCAACTCTTCCTGAAGGGCTTCACTTCTGCTGCTACTCAGGAGCTAACCATCCACCTGCTCAGTAAGCTCATCAGTGTCTCCAGACAAACACTGGTAGACCCTTCACAAGTAGCAGGTAACTAATGACTTTTTTACAGTTTTAAATCATTTAGTTTTTAAAATCTTTAGTTAGAACTGTGACTTGTTCATAAGCCCATATTGACCCAAGAAAACTCATCCTAGACCAGTTCTATTTATTCGTATTGATTTACATTTTTAAGGTTAGACTTTTACTTCATGCCTGCAGGTTTTCCTCTGAACATCCTGTGCCTCCTGCCGCATCTCATCCAGCACTTTGACAACCCCACTCCTTTCTGTAAGGAGACAGCCGATAAGATCGCCAAAGTGTGTGCGGATGAGAAGTCGGCCACACTGTCTAACCTGGCCCATATGATGAGCCTTTACAGCACACACAGCTACTCCCGCGACTACACCAACTGGATCAACGTGGTCTGTCGTTACCTCCATGATGCCTTTGCAGAGAAAACTTTGAATCTGGTCACTTACTTGGCTGAGGTATATAAGAAAAAGGTCACACTTCTTATGTTGGTCACAGATGGACAAATAACAAATGTATCCATTTCTGTCTCCATCAGCTGCTAGAGAAGGGTCTTCCCAGCATGCAGCAGTCCTTGTTACAGATCATCTATAGCTTGCTGAGTCATATTGACCTGTCAGCAGCTCCTGTCAAACAGTTCAACCTTGAGATCATGAAGATCATTGGCAAATATGTTCAGGTGAGCCTTGACGTCACTGGACAGCCTGACAGACCGACTTTAGGGTTTGGGTCAAAAGAGGAATGCATTATGGAGGTCTCATTGAATTTCTCTTGCTGCTAATTGTAAAGTGTGCGATTATGTCTACTGCTAGTTTGAGGTCTTGCAACAAGAAGCATTTATTTTGTGGGATTTGCTTTTTATCAGACAACATATGCCTGAATGAGAGTTTTATTGCTGGATCAGCCAGGGTCTCCCGTGTGGTTGGCAAGAAAATCACCAAAGCACCAGCCATCCATATGCAGTGTGCCTTATGTTTAGTAAGAGGTGTGTGAGTGTGTGTTTCATACTCAGAACAGCATATTTTCACATTTAGTCTGACGTGAATAAATACTGGGGTGTCCTGCTCTATAAATAGCAGCACAGTTGAGACTAAGAAAGAATAACGTGTGTTTCAGGGTCACTGTAAAGAGGTATTTTGATGCTTTTACACCTATTTATGAAGCCTGTTTTTTCCAGATTTGACCCAGGACTGCCTTAAGCTACTTTTGGCCATCCTAGCTTACTGTCAGTGTTTCCTTTTGTGCATTCCACAAAAGGAAACATTGTATTTGTGCATATTGAGATTTTTAGCATATGTGCACTGATGTGAACTGCAAGCTTTTTGTGTTAAGCCTCCTTTCTCATTCTACCAATATCACTATAAGCCATATGAATAGTAGCTGGTTGGGACCCGAAATGCCCTTTCACATTCATAAATTCCTCAGAAACACCTACACAGCTTGCTTCCTCACAGTGGCTTCGTTATATTTCTGCATTGTTTTTTTTTTTTTTTACAGAGCCCACATTGGAAAGAGGCCCAAAACATTTTGAAGTTGGTTGTATCCCGTTCAGCCAGCCTTGTTGTTCCAGAAGATGTGCAACGCTCCTACAGTTCTGAGTCCTGCAGCTCACCAGAAATTGCCTTCACGCGCATATTCAACAACTCTTCCAAAGAGCTGCCTGGGAAGACTCTGGACTTCCACTTTGACATCTCAGAGGTTGGTGTCCTACTTTCCTTAAGTTTACTATGTTCACCATATTGATTTACCTTTGATTTGATCTCTAATCTGCATTATTTGACTCTATAGACACCAATAATCGGGCATAAATATGGTGATCAGCGTACTGCAGCAGGCAGGAATGGAAAGCCACAGGTGATTGCTGTCACAAGAAGTACCTCCTCTACATCATCTGGATCTAATTCCAATGGGCTGGTCCAAGTAAGCTGGAAGAGGCCACAACTCTCTCAGGTACCTTCTCAGACTGACACAAATCATCCAAACCTTGAGTTTTGAAGCAGCCTCTACTCAAAGTGACACAACACCGGACCTGAGCTATGATCTGTCTTTAACAAGCTTAACGTGCCTAGAAAAGAAGCTCAACTAAATAATTAAATCATGACGATTTATTTTACACACACAGCCATAAAAATAATTACTTTCACTACATGCATACTGGCTAATTTTAAGCAGTTGTAATAGTATTTTGTAAGCAAACAAAAGCCAAACACATGTGAGTCTGATCAGTCTGTTGCTATCATTAACATATTTCACTCTCATTGCGTTGCCTGTAGATGTGAGTTCTGTTTTTGTTAAAAGACCATCTAAAAGAATTTTGACCTGGTCAGCTTGTCATTTTCTCATCTTGCATGTCTTCTTATTACAGAGAAGAACCAGAGAGAGGCTGATGAATGTCCTATCTTTATGCGGTCCAGAATCGGGCATCCCAAAAAATCCATCTGTAAGACTCCTCTCCTACTCTAAAGCTTCAGATAAGGTCTCTGTAAAATCACTGACATGAGCAATGCTTCTGCTTCGAGGCTGTCTTTGTGGTGGTGTTAGAATTGGATTAATTTGGACTTCTGAGATGATGATGGATTGATAAAAATTGTATTTAATTTTCTGACATTCCGTGCAGGTGGTATTCTCATCCAATGAGGACCTGGACTCTGCAGACCAGCAGACCAGTCTTATCCCCACAGTGGAGGAGGCCGTCAGAGAGGAGGAGTTGCAGGGAGAGGATACAGGCAGTGAGCAGCAGTTTGGAGTCTTTAAGGACTTTGACTTCTTAGATGTGGAGCTGGAGGATGCTGAGGTGAGAAAGCACATTCAAATGGCCCCCACCTGTATGAGGGGGGAAAATGATACGTTTCTCATAATAAAAAGGTGGTAATTTAAAGGAACTTATAGCAAGTGGAAAGGGACTGCTCAGAAAGGTTAAAGGTTTTCTAGTTGTATGTAGTGTAGGGAACTTCTGTGCTCTGTTCAGTCACTCTTCATCATTTCTGTTGACCATACTGTAGTAGATGTTTGACAGATTAACATTAATGTCTTGTTTGTTAAGATTGCCTTACTTGTCCTACTACTGTAGTAGAAAACTTTTATGTCCTTCTTAAGTCTACTAACATACATATTCCTTCTCTTCTCTTGCCACAAGGAGCTGCAGGTAAGTCTGAAACCAAGAAAGCTACTGAGATATGTTGTTCTTTTCAGTGCCCTGGTGTCTCCCTTTGTCATCCAGTAAAGTGCAGTACCACCTTTTGATTTCAAATCATCGCTCCTGTTGTTGTGAACCCTTTATAGTTGTAGATCATTGCATCATTTACCATCCCATGGACAAAATTACGTCGTCCGCTCAATCACATGAGTGTCTTATTTTTTTAAGTTGTGTATTTTGCATTTGTGTTGTTCTTTGTTTGCTTGTTTTGTAATATCTAACCCAGATAATATCATTTTTCCCACATTCCTCATTGCCGTTTACTTGGTTGTCCTGCAGGGGGAGAGCATGGACAACTTCAACTGGGGTGTGCGGCGTCGCTCCCTGGAGAGCATGGACAAAGGGGACACGCCGTCTTTGCAGGAGTGCCAATACACGGGCAGCACGCCAAGCCTCAACCTCACCAACCACGAGGACACAGACGAATCGTCTGAGGAGGAGGTATTGAGCGCTAGCCAGATTCTCACCCGCTCTGGCCTTGTAAGTCTCACTCTAATCAGGGTCCCCCACCCAACCCAGCCACCATGCTCCCCACACAGCCCGCTGGCATGGTGTGCGTGTGTGTGTGTGTGTGTGCGCGCGCGCGCGCATACTATGCTGGACCTCCTTCCAGTGCGGACAGGAGCTACACGCTTGCTTCTTCGCTGGTGGTAGAATCCCTTTTTAAATCTCAGCCCACTCCCTCTAGCTTTAAGACCAATGCTTTCATTGTTTCCTAGACCTTTAAATCGATGATTGGTAAGTGCAGTGTAGGACACTTTTTGTAAACTTATTAGAATTTTTTCTGAATAAAAATCTTTACATATAAAATGAATCAAATCTTTAAACCCAGCATGTTTCTTTTGCATTGTTTAACAGTTTGGCTGCCTTTCTTTAACTCTTCTTTGTTTTCTTTGGCTTTCCCAGCAAGGCCTTTATCTACATCTGCTAATTATGCTAATAATTATCGGATGTAGGTCCTCAGTCTAATACAGATGTTTTCTTTCTCTCTTCTTCTGCTCTTCTTGGTCTTGGTAGTGCACGGTGAGAGAATGAGCTTTTGGCTTTAGTGGACATTTGCCCCGAGACTTTGTAGTCATACAATATTACACACTAGAAAAATGAGCATGCAGTATTTCTGTGTTATTTCCCTAGAATTTTGAATGAGCTAACCTGCTCATAAAATTAATTGATGTTATTGATACTAGCATGATCTGATGCCTGAAGCCAATTTTTTTTGAAGATGCAGTAATGACTAAAATGACTAAACATGCTCTGCTTGATAAAGAAACAGGGCTGATGTTGTTGTAAGTTGTCAAAAGTTAATCTGTAGGCGTGTCTGCTTTACTAAGTTTAAAATGTTATTGCTTTATGTTGATGATCTAATTTCGTTTATTATGAAAATACTCAAATGAGATTCTGTTTTAATGCATTTCATAAAGATATTTGGGGATATCTCAGCACATGCAGTGACTTAATTTAAGTTTGCAGTATTACTTTACTGCTTACACTAAATTAACACCACACGTAAATTAACATACATACAGAAACCAGTTGTGCCAAAGCGAGAACTTGTAATCAGCACTAATTCTGGACCTCTGATTAAATAATTCGGTGATTAAATGGGTAGACTAATGTATGAGTAATTGGTAGGATCAGTATTTGAAAAATAAATGTTAAAGTCACTTTATATTTTGTAAATATGGTTATCCCACTGCAAAGTGATTGGTTTTTGGTGGGAAAAATCAATTGGTGGAAATCATATGGGGAAAAATCCTATAGAAAATTGCCTGTTATTATTGTCTTTTATTATTTTTTTGTGAGACAGGTTTTTCAAACTGTTTTATTCCAAAGCTGAAGACCATTATTTTTTGTTTTTTAACAATAATATTTTTCACTGAGTACACACAGAATCTTATAGCCTAAAACGGCCTCTTTCCATGTATTTATACTGTTGCGGAATCAATCAATGTAGAGCAGTGACACAAACCACTGAGGCCCAGAAGAGTGCAGTCAAACGATGAGTTTATTAACACACAGGAGAGGAAAAAATCCGCATATGTCTTCTGACAAAAATACATGTTGTGAACACTTTTAAAGCAGTGAGGTACCCGCCCCTCCTAGGCAAAAATAGGTTAAAGCCGTTAGTTACAGTAAATGGTACATCTTAGATGGCTATAAACAGACATAGAACTTCTCATTTCTATAACAGCTTCCAAACAAGGTAATAACTTCAAGCCTTCAGGTTCTCTGAGGGCTGGTTATTGACTCCGGTCATCTGTTACCAAGTAGACTAAAATGCAGTTAGAAGCTAAATGAATTAAGGCCTCAGGCCTGGCACATTTCTAGATTATATGTGTATTGTAAGCATGTATTGCAGTTATCCTTCTATGCTCTAGTCTTTAAGACCCTCTGTAGACTAAGCAACAACTCTTAATGAGCACAAATACTATGCAATGTGTATGAAGTACTTCTGGCCGTACCTGTAATAAAAGTTAACATAATGGAAGGATCCTCAAATGAACATCTTCAATAAACAACTTTAATGCAATATCAATACTGTGAGAAATATTATTAGATGAAATAATGCTGTAAAGAATGTTATTAATGCAATTATAATGATGCAGATTATATGGCAGCAATAAAAGAATTTCTGTATCTCCACAATACCTCATGATTAAACAAGTCCAGTCGTCTTCTTTCCAAACTCTTTAGGCAACTTCTCAAGACCATTATGTTATTATTGAGGTACCTCTTTGAATGACCTTCCTAAGTAACCGTTGTCCACTTCAGGTTTTGAAATAGTAGGGCTTTAGGCATTAGTACACTTGTAATAAAGGTTTACATCATACTCTATTGTGTTCATACATCCCTCAGCAAAAAAGCCAAACAGTTCATGTTTCTCTTTTCCAGCTCAACAGTGATTCTGCTACGGATGACACTGCATCCAACCATGTGGACTCTTTGCAGCAGTCCCAAGAGTCCTCCAGCAGTGCCATGACGGAGGAGGCAACTGTCCTGCCCACTCTGCCCTCTGCACCCTCCCTCCCTCGACTGGATAGTCCCATGTTGGAGATGACCCACTCAGACAGCACCAGCAGTCAGCTGCCTGAGGTGCGATGAATCAGGAGCAACAATAAACTGTGGTGCTCGGGTGCTTTTTAGCCTGCCTTTTTCTTTTCGTTCATTTCGTATCTGCTTTCGCTGTATTTGTTGGCCTATCTGTCATTTAGACAAACGATCAGCTACCTTTAGGGGGTTTTGGACAGGATGGAGTAAAAGTGCTGGTTCTGAGGGACTGTCTGGCTGCTGTCGGGTTAAGATCTATATATGCGCGTGTGTGTGCATGTTTGTGTTTGCTGCTTCTGCTGCTTCTTGCTCTTTCTTTGTTACTTTGCTCTGCATGGTTGCTGAAGTCTTAACTGTGTAGCTCTTGCAGCCTTAATAGTAGTGGGGCTTGACTGTATGATTTTGGGAATGGTTAAAAAATTAAAGCTCACCTCAGGTCAGCTGTTACTGCTCACCTCACCTACAATAACACAGCAACTGACCCTTCCAACTAAATCCTCCATTTAAAAACTTGTGAAAGAGACACCAGCTCCTTAATCCTCGGCAGATGCATGTGTGAGTATGAGTCCTTTATAAGTGGTGTCTTAGTTTTACAAGTGCAGTTAACTCAAAAGCTAGCCAATGAAATTTGCTATGATATTAACATGCGATAGCTTGCCTTCTGTATTTACTGCTACTGACATTTATCACTTCCACTAACAATGGTAAGTATATCGTTTTGTTCTGATTTGCATTTGCATGTACATGGCATTTTGAAGTTTAACATATTTCAGCTTTATATCCGTATAATATGAATAACCACTAAATTCATTGGTGTGTATAGTGCAAAACAGTTCTCTATCAGGTTCCCCTATCTATCCCTCAGTGACCTCTGTAACTTTTAGGAACACAACCAAGCAAGTGGTCTCAATATCATCCCAAGGACATCTCCCCCATCACAGCCCCAGCTCTTAGTGTAATGAGCTCTAGATAAAACCATCAATAGTCTTGCTCATTCCCTCCGGGATGGCCATGACCACTTCTAAAAGCTTTCTGTAATATAGCTGCTGTCTCTGTGATGTACTGGCTGTCTGCCATGCACAGTATCCCTAATGCACTGGACTTTGAATAATAAAGAAAGGAAAAACAAAAAGGGAAAAAAGCAAAGACCTCTTAATTAGAATACCCCTGTGCCATCTTCAGCATATCAGCACATAGGAACATATCGCTCTCTCCTATTAGCGCGTCTACCAACTATGTATCGGCATGTCCTCCTTTTACATATGAGTCAGTTAGATGCTTGTAATACTAATGTTTTCTATAAATTATGGCCTGGCTTGATGTCTGCCTACAATTTATTACAAAGACTTGGTTCATTTGTTAGGTTGCTAATTCAGTCCATTAGTTGTTTCTGTAGTTATGCAGTTGTCTATAAATCGGTTGTCATGCAGATGTTATGACTCACCACCGATTAATTTAATTCATTTGTGGGCCTGTCACTCCCTGACAGGCGACGTTGCTGTTCTGTTAGCAGTGACGTCAAATTTTCAGTGGCATTTTTGTGATAAATACTGGGTGATCTTTTTTTTTTTTTTTTTTTTTTTTTTTTTAAATAGACATTAGCTTATAACGTGACATCTAGAGCAATTTCAGAGAAACTGAATATTGCAAAAGGTACAAAGTTAAAAGTCCCAGTTGTGTAATTAAAGCTGTGAGCTTTGAGAATAGGCTACAGTGGTCTTAATTCAAGTTTTACGAGAGGCTCAACTGTGAATCTGTGTTTTATGTATCAGTGTTGGCGGCCACTGTTGAAATAAAAATATTATTGTAATGGATGTTTTGTAATGTGAAAGTACCTGCCATGCTGAGCCCCCCTTCTGCTTTGATGTTACAGGATGCTATAAGCATGACGGCGGCTGACGAGCTGAGCAGCAGCGTGAGCGAGGACACGGGGTTTTGCAGCGCCCCCCCTTTGCCCTCTGACCCCCAAGAGATGTGTGACCTCCCAGACTCACGGGACCCTCAGGATGCTCAGGATCACCAGGAGACTCAAGACCCTCAGGAGGACTTGGATCCAGCCCCCCCTCCCCCGCCGGCCATAGACACACCACCAGGGCTCCTTTGTGAGGACGAGTCCCAAACGGTGCTGCCTCTTTGTCTGCCATCAGAGACGAAGCAGGATGCAGATCCAGATCCAGACAGCACCTGTGGGTCTGTGTGGGAAGAAGATGTGACACAGGCGCTGAAAGAGCTGGATGAGCGCTGTGAGGAGGAAGAGGCGGATTTCTCTGGGATGTCCAGGTAGGTGTTTCAGAGTCTTTCTTTGTATTCATACTAGAGATGGACCGATCCGATATTACGTATTGGTATCGGTCCGATACTGACGTAAATTACCGGATCGGATATTGGAGAGAAAAAAAAAATGTAATCTGATCCAAAGTATCACAAAATCACCTCACAAAACACGCTACTTGGCGTAACCCAGCTCGGCGCTTCGGAGCAGTGTATGTCACGTGATAGAGCGGCTGTTGTCTGCGAGACAGACTTCCGAGAGAAGTAAAGCAAGAGTCTTAAGTTCATCTCTGAATGTTTGCATAGTATTTCCACGTTAAGCTTAACAACTGATATATTGAGCCACAGCTGGACTGGCCATCGGAGTTCCATATTAAGGTGAAAAGGAAGCGATTTGTCCCGTACTTCAGCTAGAATTTAAAAAAAATAGGCACAAAGCTGGAGTTATTCTGTCTTTGCTGCGCAGTTGCATCTACTTCTCTCATTCCAACACGTTCTCACTCCCCCTCCCTCTCCGGTTATTACTTCAAACATGAAACTGATCAATGATCAGCTGATCGGCTCTTCTGCCGCAAGTCCCGTCTTTCTTGTTTGTTAACACCCACTTTGCGCTAGAAACAGGAGACCACCGGATAAACAACAGCAGCACGTTTAAGCGTGATAAGCTGTTGTTAGAATTTATTTAATATTACTTTCTAGTATCAGCTGAGGTTTGCTGAAGCCACAGCTGTAAAAGCTGCTGGTCATGATATCCATTTGGATATGTGGTGAGAGGGAAACACGTATATGAAACCAGGAGACGTCCTTACTGAATCATCAGAGCTGAAAAGGTGATGGAGAAACAGGTTTAACTTTTAGGTGACATGAATGAGTTGAAGGGAAGTTATGAACTGTTTCTGAGAGACAAATAACACCAGGATCCTTTTCTAAGTAGCTTACGGCTGGTAACTGTGCAGGTGCGGATATAGCAAAGTTTTATCGCGGGCCAGGTAGGGCATTAACTGGGAAAGGGGGGCACAAAGAAATATCTGTTGAAGAAAGATGTTGAATCTCTTTAATTATTGTAGAAAAATAATTGATTTCTGTGCATTTGTTTTACACTTGAATTAAATTAAAGTTGATTACATCGATTAAGGGCGGGGGGTGGTTCCCTTAATATTTTTGCTGGGAGTTGGCAACCCTCTTAGTTAGGTAGGTAAGTACTCTTTAAAATACCAGAATAGGGAGGATGGTATAGGTTTAAATTTATTAGATTGATCAGTGTTGCTAAACTATAAAATGTTTTGGGTGGAGTGTATTTTTTGCATACAGGTATAACAGAATAGCTTCAGTCTCTTGTTTTTTAAAACTTGAGTATGAACTTATACAAAATGCAGCAAGATATTTATAAAAAACAGTTTTATTGATTACAAAATAAGCTATATCGGATTCATATCGGTATCAGCAGATATCCAAATTAATGATATTGTATCGGACATTAAAAAGTTGTATCGTGCCATCTCTAATTCATACCACTGTATTAAAGAATTTGAGAAGATCTGAGAAAATGCTGGATGACTTTTGTGCCAGTTTTGCCAGTATCATGTAAATCACCTTTTACCTGAAACCCAAATAGCAAATATTGATCGATAAGAGACATTTAGACATGCAAAGACATGCAGTTTTAATTTCCTTTTGTGTTTGAATAAATGGTGGAATTTATACCAATTTGCTGAGCAACTGACTGATAGCTCATCAAGTCATTGTACAGTTGGTTTTATTTTAATTTCACACAGTCTAAAAATCTTTAATTTTTAGATGGTTTTTACAAATGACCTTTTACTAATAAGTAATGGAACGGTCCATTTAAGAAGACTGTGTCAGACAGCTCCCATTTAAAAATGTATTAAAGTAAAACAGCTGACCTTTCATTTTAATTGTAGACTAGTTTAGGTGTGGCTGAAGAAGATATGGACTAATCTACAGTGCATGACTAATCTAACTTCTTTGACATGATTTAGATGGTGTGATAGCTAATTTCTTTCTTGGCCTGGCCTATCAGAACTATGCGTGTGTTGGCAGGCTTCAGTTCATTCCTAACACTTCAAGGTGGGCCAAATCTGATTGGAGGACAGTTGTAAAGTCAGGGCTTTAAACTGCTCTAAAGCAATATTAAGAAGCACTGCTGAACAAACTAGAAAATAGAGACTCACTCGCCTCCATGTGTAACTGTACTGAAGTTCTTTCAATTAACAGAGACACGCATGCATGGAAAGCAATTGTGTGAGTAGCTTAGAGTGACTGAAAACAGCAGGACACTAACCAGTTAGTGTAGGTGTCTGTGCATGAGGATTTATGTGAGTGGGAGAGAGTAAAATGAAACAACTCGGCAACGTTTTACCTCAGTGGGTTGGGAGCTGGCTCTGCTTGCAATACTGTGTGCGTGCGTGCGTGCGTGCGTGCGTGCGTGTGTGTGTGAGTCAGTATGTGTAAATGCCTAGCTTGTATAGACCTCTCTGCAGTCCTGTGTGGGATGAGTGCAGTGCGCTAGTGCTGCTAACAGTGGAGCTGCAGACGAGGGGAGAGAGTACGGGAAAGAGAAGCGGTAGTTAGGATGAGGACAGAGACAGTGTCCGTTGCAGCGCTCGGCAGCGCAGGCTTTAGATACTTATATTCTGTCTGCTTCTTCAGGCTGTTTGGTCCCACAGGCCTGTGAGTATCTGTGTGCGTGCGTCTGTGTGTGTGAGAGAGCGAGAGAGAGACAGACACGTCTGTGTAATGCTAAAATGCTAATCGCTGTTATTGTGAGAGCACTGCAGCAGATTTTAGCTCTCGTTGCACTGCAGCAGAATTTTCAGTGAGGGAGGCAGAGATGCAGCAATGTGAGGTTGTTTACTTGCTGCGAGTGACGACATGCGCGTGTGTATGTTTACTTTTGTCCTTCAGTGAAAGGGGGGGGGGGGGGGGGGGGGGTGGTATAACATGTCTGACTGCTTATTGGCCCCCGTGTGTGTTTTAGCCAAGATGAAGGTGACGCAGACGGCTTCCCAGAGATTCAGGCCTCTCCACCCCCTTCGCCCTTCCTCTCTGCCATCCTGGCTGCATTCCAGCCAGTTGCCTATGACAATGACGAGGATGCTTGGCGTTGCCATGTCAACCAGATGTTGTCAGACACAGATGGGTCCTCGGCTGTTTATACTTTCCACGTGTTTTCCCGACTCTTTCAGGTAAATGTGTACCACATTTTTTTGGGGGTTTTTTATGTTCTTGCAGTTTTGACTGATAGGACTGCTCCTTATCTGTTGCATCTTGTGTACAAGTAAGCTTATTTCCGAATGATCTTACTTTGTTTTCTTTTTTGTGTGTGTGTTTTTCCAGAGTATTCAGAGAAAGTTTGGCTCCATTACACATGCATCTGTTCGCTTTCTCGGGGAAAGGCTCCAACGAATGGGTAATCAGTTCCTTAGCTCCTTGGAAGTCATGACGTCTCGCTCGCAGTGTCCCACTGTGTTGCTGGATGCAGAGACGGTGAGGCTGGCCCGCATGCTTGTCTGTAGTCATTCTGATGCATCTGATAAAGCGAGACTCCAGTAATGCTGTAGCAGTTACACGGCTGGATTATTTTATATAAATGGTTTATGTCGTGCTGAGTGTGTGTGTGTCCTGGTATAGATATTTTTGTGTAGTTTGTGTTATGCCCAGTTTATTTATGATAAAAATGAGAAGGGAAGTCAACACAGCAGAAAAATATCTAATCTAATTTTTATGTACAACAAGTGAAAGAAGAATAGGTACCATATTAAAACTGGCTGTGGCTTAAATTTGTGGTAACGGCAACACAGTCAAAGCAAATGAAAACCAATTTGTCATTCAGGAGAGACCAGCTAACACTAACACGAGGCCTTGGGGCCATTATGTGTATGTTGTGGATGTTTTTGTGGCTTAATATGTGTGGTGTCCTGTGTTGTTGTAGCTGGTCTCTTGTGGACTGTTGGAGACTCTGAAGTTTAGTGTGCTGGAGTTACAGGAACACTTGGACACCTACAACGCCAAGAGAGAAGCAGCAGAGCGTGTAAGCCATCTTTATCTTTCTCCACATCCACATCTCTGCCTCTTTATCCTCTTTGAACCTTTTCCCACCAGACATGTTGTTTCACATCCTCTTTATTTTTAAAACACGTAAAGTGGTTTTCATCTCTATGCAGTTTCACTGCAAAAAGCCAGGAGAACATAAAGACGAGTAGCTGATGTTGCACACGATAAGCCCAGTCTGTCTCATCAGCAGCTGCAGACACTGAATCAGTGTTCAGTATGAGTACATTCAGCTGCCGTTAGTGTCTGCATCACCAGTGAGAAACCATGCTGAAGGGATAAAAATAACCCTCAGCTCTCCTAAATCAGTTACAGAAGGCCAGGCGGGAGAAGCTGTGAGGGGTTGGAGCTGGGAGGAAAGGGGAGGGGAAAAAAAGAGATGAGATTGCAGAGAGCTCTGGGATGCAGGGGCGCTAATTGAATGAGACGGCAATGTTCCCTGGAGGGCTAGATACTCTGGATGCTCTGGAACAGGCCTTCTTTAATTCGCTAAATACAACGCACTTATTAAATCTCCTCCTTTTATTATGTACACACACACACATGTAGATGCATATGTCCATGGGGTAAAAAAAAAAGCCTTGTAAATGCCTCTGTTTCCAAGTTTCTCTCCTTCCTCTAAGCCTTTTATGTTTTTCTCTCCTGTTTTGTCTCCTGCCTGTTTACGCAGTGGCTCGAGAACTGCAGGAAAACATTCGGGGACAAAGACAGCAGCCAGCGACCCAATACTCATGCACAGGTAGGGATGAACACTTTTACTTTACAATGCATGAATTTGTTTGTCATACTTATTGACCGGTTTGACTTTTGAAAGTGTTGCACTGCAGCTGAATCGGTAACATCCAACTGAAATTACACAGCATTACAGACATTAGAGACATTAACGAAGTGTCGTCAAGCCAGTCAAAGCGCATCTCTTTAAGAAAACCATGTTGGTTTAAAAGAAGCGAGAACCTGCACCAGCTTTCCTGCGGATACAGGATAATGTTACAAGTTACTTATTAGTAAAAATGCAATGATAAATGTATTTATCAATGAAACATGTACACAAAGTAGAACATTTAGCTATGAGCTAAACAGTTACTGTCAGCAGTGCACTAAGGGATTTATGTACGAGCATGCTTTGGTTGCATGTGAGTAAACAATGTAAAGAGAAAAGGCGGCATCACATTTCCTTAAATGCCTTTGATAACCATGAACATGTAAAGATGATTGAAGATTTAGCTTTTTATTCACTTATTTTATCTCCGTTAAGGAAATTCAATTTTTGGCCCGCATATCCGCTAATTATACCAGTTGTTGTTCTCACAGCGCGAAGAAAGCATACCAGCTAATCATTTTGAGTCAAACCATGATTACAAAACGTAGGTTCATATCAAACCCAAGACGTTAATGTGCCATTACGCTAATTAGGTCTTCAGCTGCAGCATATTAAATGCATGTGAATGTATCAGTACAGTCATTTAGGTTTCAATGACCTTTAATTCCTCAATACCACAAAAGGACACTTTTGAAGGAAGTTTGATGTAATCACGAGTTGTTAATGATTACCTTAAATTGTACTTACTGATAATAATTAGCTTAATGAATAATTAAGAACTTCTGTAACAGCCTCTCTATGCAGTTTATTCAAACATTTTCCAGTCATTCTGTTTATTTGGTGGTAAACTGAGATTATGTTTGATCTTTCATGTAACTAGTGCCGTAGTTTTATATATGTGGCGCCAAATCAAAATAGCAGTTGTTTTAAGGGGCTCTATATATTGCAAGGTAAACACACTCTACAATTATAGAGACAAAGCCCTAACAATCAGACTGCGCCCTATGAGCAGCTCTTGGCGACAGTGGGAAGGAAAAACAAAGCTATATCTTACATAAGGTTTACATTACACTCATGAAAGATCGACGGTTCAATTTAGCGTACTCCTCATGCAGGTAAATCTAAGGTTTGCATCCTGAACGACATCCGGGATAAAATCTGTGCCAAATCAAACATGCAGGTTCATCTTCTGTGGGGACCACTTGAGATATAGGGGAACAGCTTTTCTTTTATTGTGAAAGGCAAGCAGAGGAAAAAAATTCTTTAAGTAACATTTCTGTACTGCTGTGGCAGTGGCGCTGTCAGCTGCCAGTTAAACACAAACCCTGAGGGCAAGAAGTGTTTTTAACAATTTGCCAGCAACCATTTTTATAGCTTTGGGTGATAAACATGTTAACAGTAGATTTAAAGAAGATGTGTAAATAATTTTTGTCTTCAACAACATAATTGCAACTGTGACTTCAGATGGACTTTTTTAGACTTTTTTCCCCAATTCAAAAATGTAAGATTTAAGACAAAGTTTGTACCCTTGATGTATTTGCATGATCTCTCACTGCACGTCTTAGTCTGTAGGTTTCTCTTACACCGAGCTCCTTGGACAGATCTGCGGAGCTCCCTCTGTGTTTGACATTCACACAGATGTTACCTTGGTTTAAACTGACGCTCTGTTTTCAATCAGAAGTATCCAGAGGTCTTTCACTGCCTCCTCCTTCCTCTCTGCGTAGCCACCACGCCACCGCGTCTTTTCTGCCCGTCATCGCACATGCTGTTGTTCACCTTTTCAGAATAAGGGTTTCTGTTACTGCTGACGTGAGCTCACATTATCTGACCCGTGTGAAGGGAAGATGATAAAGCACTGCTCCTGCTCGTCAGGTCACTGTGTCTCAGCTGTCATGTTAAAGCTCACTAATTCTTGGTCTTTCTCTCCTTCTGTTTTGTTTGTTTGTTTGTGTGTGTGACCTGCTCACCTTCTTGCTTAGCAAATGGAAAATCTAGCAGTAAGTGGTTCTCATATTATAGACTTAAATAATGCTGCCAACCGGACAAAACACTGACATCTCATCTTTCTGTGCAGAAACAGACTGTGTTCTACCCCCACCTATTTCTCTGTCTATGTTTCTGCTTGATTGGTCATGTAACCCAGCTCAACCTCTTCATCCACCCACCCAATCATAACGTACCGTGTTATCCTGTTTGCATTTTTTTCTGTTTGCTTGTTGCACTGATTGTGTCTGCAGATAAATTCATCTGTCTACGTGTATTCAGTGTAGAGTTGCCACCTGATTTCAGAGGGGCTGCTCCGTTATCAGTAGGATATGATGGCTAGAGAGTCCAGTGTTGTTAGGTTTGAATTCACTTTCATTTTGCATGATTCCATTGTTCCATTCCCATTTGTTCAAATCATTTTCTCCCATTTCCTCCGAGATTAGGGGCTTAACTTTTAGTTTTCCCACACCTCACTCATCAATTCTACATGCTGAGGGATCAATGAGATGATGCCCTAGGTTTTCTAATTTAAGATTTCACCACTACTTCTAGCAGTAGGGTCATTCCATGAAATATCAGCCAGTATTTCCCATCTGACCCCATCAGAAGCAGCTGATTTCTTTTTTTTGTTTGGTATCTGAAGCTATGCAGTATGTACCTGCACGCTATGACATTTTTCAACCCATCTCCATGTACTTCATAGTGTGCAGGTAAAATTTTGCATCCCTTCATTAAATAAGCTAAAGTTAATATAATAAATAAAATCATCTAATTCTGCTGACTCAGGTCAGGTGGGACCAAATTTTCCAATTTGGGTTATTTTATTTGGGACGACCCTATAGTAGACTCACCATGGTCCAAACCAAATGGCCATCCGTGTTAACTTTTTCATCTCTTCCTCTAACCCAGGATACCCATCTGTCTAATCATGTGATCAGAGTGATTCAGTGCAGATTAGATCATCGCTTTGCTGAGATGTGACAGTGTGTTTTTCTGTCTTCTGTCTCTGTAGGAGCTCGAGTTATGTCGGAGGCTCTACAAATTGCACTTTCAGCTGCTGCTGCTGTTCCAGGCCTACTGCAAGCTCATCAGCAGGGTGGACACCATCAAGAGAGAGGCCGAGGTGAGAGACACAAGGTTTAGCGTCTGCTGAGTTAAAAGTTTGTCTGTGCGTTGTTATATAATCCATTTTGGGGGGTTATTCCATAGTTGGAGGAACTAGCTGCTGCTACTGAGGTTCAGCAAAATTAAGAGGCTCTGGTGAAAAGTGACGTTCAATTTAAAGCTTTTCAGCTTTGTTGTGTGGTTACACTTTTATAGATGGAGAACGTAAAGACTTGCTTGTTCAATTTTAGGGTTTGTTTGTTTTTCATTTAGATTCTTGTAGTGCTGTCAGCGTCAATCTCATTAAAATTACGTTAACGCCATAACTGAATTAACGGAGAATTGCCGCGTTAATGCGGTTATGGCGTTAACGTCAATTTAATGAGATTAACGCTGACAGTGCTAGTTTCTTGTCAAATCCACAGGGAACCACTGCAAAACAGTATACCTTAAAATGTATGATAGTTTTCCTTGTTTCAGTAACACTAGAGAAAAAATACATTTAAAACTTAAAATATATATAAAGAGAGCTGGAGTCAGAAAATGCAATGAAAAATGTGCAAAACAAAGGAACACAATTTGATTGGATAATTATTTTCCTTTACCCACGGGATCGATAAACAGGCTTTACTAAATCTGTATTGCAGTCCATCCTTCTCTGAGCTGCATCTTAATTGTGCTTTAATTTAATTTAGACATTTAATAAAATTAAATTATTTCCCGTACTGAGCGCTGAGGTCAGCTAGTCCAGGTAATATTTAGTCTGGGTTCATTTCGTTCACCTCCCGAGGAAGATCTGCTTGTGTTATTTGGTGCTGTGACAATAATCCTCCTTTGTCTCCGTTTCTAAGGTTACCAACATGTCCGACGAGCTCACTATCTTAGAGAGCTGCCTGAAGGAGGCGGAAACAGGAAATGATGGTCAGGAGGATGTGTGCATGCCAGACAATGCCCAGACGAACACCGAGACAGCCATACAGTCACTGATTGAAACCCTGAGAGCCAGAGACTTCAGCTCTGCTCTCACACAAGTCAAAATCTTCAGGTAAGATAAACACTACAGTCAAACAAATCAGTGGCTTTAATCGGTGACATAACAAGGCAATACAGTGATTAAGCCTCCTGTCTAAAAGGCCCAGTCAAACATTATTTAACAAGTAAAAAGTTGTTATTTTTAATGCACTCTGATTCCTGGCTGTTTCATTCCAGTCTCGTGCTTCATGTCATTGCGCTTAAGGGCTCGAGTTACTAACTGATCCTCACGGGTTCACTCAGACACAGCATCCGTTCAGTTTGGTTACTACAACATGGAAGACAGCTGCAAGTTTGCTCCAGAAAAACATTTTTTGTTAACATAATAAGGATGTTCTTTGGCACTGTCACATATTTTAATATTGCGATTTTTGGATGCTGCAGATTAAGTTCGGACTAGGACATCCAGCATGATCATTTCAAGTAAGAAGCCCAGATATAAGATAAAAGGAGGTTAAAATGCACTCCTGTTTCTATCGCATATCATTACTGAAATGTTCAGAGGCAGAAGCTCCTTTGACTTGGCAGGCCTGCTTGCGATGCTTCTTGGCAGTTATTTTGAAGATCCCATCTAAATGATGAGATGGGATGTTCACTGGGATATGAAAGCAGTACGTGTAGACTCACCAGTCACACAGTAAACAGTCGTGAAACCTTTGGCTCGCTGCCTGGTGATGAGGCATGAGTCTGTGAAGATGAGGGACTGTGCATAAAAATAACTGCTACACCCCCTTGAAATAAAGTTGCTAACAAAAACTGTGCAATGGTACACACCTGTAGCATTACCTAAACAATGAGTGCCTAGAATTTAATACTGTGTTCTTTCTAAAGCTCAGTGAACTACTGCCCAACATCGCCCAAAGTGCATTTGTTCACAGACCTGAACATGTTTTCAGAGGAGTCGACTAACAAACCCAAAGCACCTCAGGAAAACCGTTTATCCAGCAGCTAAGAATGTGTTCGGTACAATCCCCTTTTCTTCACATCTCTTCTTCATCTCCAGATCTCTGTGGCCCAACGACATCTTCGGCAACGAGACGGACAACGCGGTCCAGACTCTTCTACACATTTACTTCCGTCACCAGACGCTGGGTCAGACAGGCTGCTTGGCGGTCGTAGGCCCCAGCAGAGACCTGTCTCAGGCTAGCAGCCGCCTCATGGAGCTCAACCTGCAGATCCGTGAGGCTCTGAGTCAGGCGCAGACCTGCCAGACCCACACCGACATAGTCAGCACCGGACTGTAAGCCTGAGGCACTGCAGGCTGGACTAGACTGGACAAAAACACCCCTCTCCTCTACACCTCCCCTCAGCTGGAGTGTAGACGGTGAGGGGCGGAGGACAAGAGAGACTCCACCTATAAAGGGCTAAAGGATGCGTGGGAATAACTGTGACTCTTAATATATATTATTACATGTATGAATGCTTAAAGCTAATATCTTTTCCCAGACTAAGCCAACTCGCAAAATTCAGTTGCAATAAGTCATGTGGTGGCGTGCCTGGGAAAGAATAAGAGAGGGCGCTGTGGGACGATAACTTTTTTTGTTGTTGTTGTTGTTATTTGTTTTTCTCTTTTCGCTGGATCTGATCCGAGGGGCCCCGTCGTACCGAACGGATGCGCTCCTCGGGGTCTGGACTGGGAGTCGGCGTCGAAGCCTGGGAGGCAGTCCAGAGGAGGTGTCGTATGTGTGAGGACGCACCATCAAGATTCATAAGCAAACTCAGAAAGTCTTTGAGAAACCGAATAGTTTTCAAACGCATGCTGAAAGAGAAAAAGCACTGCAAGAATATTTTTTTGAGAAATGTATTTTTTATTAGAGCTAACATCCTAGGTTGTAAATGTTAGGATATTTAACATGTTAACCCTGTGGGAGACGTTTACCTTCAGGGAGTGTACAAAGAGAAATATATCTGTTTATTGATCTGCTCTGAGAGGAGAGTCCCCTTCAACAGGTCTTCACGCAAAACTCACTCTTTAACCAAATAAGTAGATGCCTTTAGAGACTCTTGACTGTGTGATTATATATTGGATATTCTGGTATACGCTCACACACAAAAATGCATATAATTGCACACAAGTGCGGACTGGCTACAGCTCATTATGGAAACATAACTTATTTTACTCTGTATATATTTTAGAAAATGTATAGTGTAAAACCAGTATTTTTTTTTTTTCCCCTTGTACTTTTGTGTAATGCACTGTTCATCCGATTAGGATGTCTGTATAAAGCTAATGTGATGAGAAAGCCAGAAACAGGTTTGAGTCATTAATGGTCCGCTCCACCTTTAGTCATCCAATCATACAAATTTCCCAAAGGCTGCCTTGGTTGGTGGTTGTGGTTTCAAAAGAGGGAAGCGATGCTCGTTTGGGACAAGCCACCCGTCCGCCTTTGGCGGCGATGGAATGGGAGATCAAAACAAGCCTCCATCTCCTCTGCTGGACCCCACCAACCCAGCCAAGCCCCACATACATATGCATTCCTTGTCTCCACTGTGATCTTTTTGTTAGCAGCGTAGGCTCTGCTTAAAGCCTTACGAGGGAGGAGATGAGGTTTGAATCTGTCCATGTAGGTCGATCATGTTGCAAAGCGGCGCTCATCCACTGCTGCGTTTTGATCCTGTTTATTTATTTTCTGAGGGGAAGCGGGTGTCTGTACTCTCACAATGCCCCTACTTGCTGCTGTGACTGCAGGACATGAACCGTTATCTGAATGCTTCTTGGACAGCTTGTCATGGCACATTGTAACAGTCACTGTACTCATTCCTCAGAGCTTCTCTTTTTCTCCTCCTGCTTGTCTGGTACATATGAATGCTGTTCTTATTTAATGATTATTTACCTGGAAGATATTTTAATGTAGAGCTGCATTATACATTTTTTCCTTGTTCACTCATACCAGCCTTTTCTGGATCAATAAAAACCTTACAGAATGATCTTGATCTTCAGTTATTAAAATTGAAAGCACCATCTCCATGTGTTTTTTTTCTTGGACTCTGCCAGACTCACTGTAAGATGTCACTGTAAGTTTAAAAAAAATATACTAATTTATCTTAAAAAACCAGATAGCCAGACATTTCTTCCTGTTAAATGGGAGTTTTTCCTTCCCACTGTTGCCAAAGTGCTTGCTCATAGGGGGTCATATAATTGTTGGGTTTTTATTTGTACAGTAGATCCTACAATAATAGATACAATATAAAGTACCTTGAGGCAACTGTTGTGATTTGGTGCTATATAAATAATATTGAATTGAAATGCTGCATGGGCACACCCCCATCTGCTTACCAGTGTGGAGGTTTTAAAAAAAAAAAAAAAGCCACATTCCCAAATCCACAGGGGCGTCTGTAGCTCCGGAGGTAGATGGTTCTCCTGTCCCAGACACTGAAACCCAGATTCCCTGTGGTGCAAGTGTGTATTAGAAAGCACTTAAGACACTGGGTAAAGTGGTGAAGGGTTTTAGTAAAAATCCCTGTACATATGAACTCTGACACAATAGAGAAGGAAAATTGTGTTGGAAACCCAACGCCTGAGCTTTTGGCTCAAATGATATATGAAACAAAACCATTTAAATCCAATCTGTGCTCTTTGGCTCTGTATGGTCTCATCACTCAAAAGTCATAGCAATAGCCAGAGTGAGTATTCATAGCTACCAGTGACCGTTTGGCTAACAGATCTGCAAACAATTACGAAGGAATGGGTAGGATACACTGATATTCAGAACAGCAGATTTATTTATTTTTAAATCCAAGTGTTTAGTCTTCGACCCACCAGTTTCAGTGTCTTTGGTGCCACGGCAACCTAGTTTCCAATAATTTGATGTCAGTCTTAGTTTATTGCACATGTTCAGGTTTATGTCAGCCTGATTTTAGACAACAGGATTCTCCAAGGTGCTGCATTTCAGTTGAGATCAGTGACAGTTTAAGTGAGCATGCTTACAGACAGAATGCAAGCTAGCCATTTATTACATCGTAAAGCACATGCGGTGCTTCAGTTTCATCAACACAAAGAGAACTGGTGTGAAATAAAGTACAGAAACATCAAAAATACATTTTGCATCCAAGATGCCATCGTTGCACCAGCAGTGGGTTCAAGATGCCCCCCCACGTACAAGTTGTGCCAGCATACTGAGGACAGTTCAGTCGAGACGCTCCTTAGATGATGTACTTGAAGCTGAATGTGCTGTCGCAAGAGAGCCGCTTGCCTTTGCATCTGCCGCACAAATCCTGTCTGTGGGGTCGTTTGGGATCGACGTGTCGTTGTGTTACTGCACAGGAACAGCGTGCTTTGTTGCAAGTCTGAGGAGAGAGGAAGCGTTAAGTGGAGACTAACAAGCCATTCAAAATCCACACAGACCGATTAGGACTTACATGACACGTGATGTCCTCGACACGGTATGGGTTGTATTCCTTTTGGCATTTTCTACAAAACTGTTTGAAGTAAACCTGCAAGATAAGCAGAGGACTCAGATACTTTCTAGGCAGCAGGTCTCTGGAAGTCAGTCCTTGTTGCACTGAGGACTTCCTATGGTGGACTCTTGATAAAGCACATTTCATCTTTGGAGGACCTTAAACAGAGCTGCTCACCTTGTTGGTGCCCTGAACACACCACACATAGGCACTCTCCCATCGCAGATTGCAGTCTCTGCAGTGATAATATCCATATTTCTGTTCCAGAAACTGAAGGACAAAAACCAAAATTATTCAATGAAATCATTAGAAGGAATCCATCCAAAAATAAACCATCCACATATGTTGTTTGAGAGGAGAACAATCCGAGTAGCCATGATCATGACACTTGCAAAGGGGGGCTAAACAAATACTTTGAGTTGATTGTTAATTAGCAAATTAACTGAAACAGATTAAACTTTATAGGTAGCACACTGACAAAATTAGAAGCATATCTTCTGGATGATGTTCTAAACAAAAATTTGCCAATACTTTTGTTTGAAGACGGGTTTTAGTGCCATTTTCGCACTTATTTGGGACAATACTACAGCTTCCAAACTGGACGTTCAGTTCTGAAAGAAAAAGGAAATGCGCCAACCCATGTCCTTGAATGGGTCATTTAATATACAAGGCAATTTCCAAGCAGTTGTGGCGCAAACGTTCTTCGAAAAACTGCCAAGTATGAACCTCCCGGTGCGTGATTAACTCACCTGGAACCGCACACGCGCTTTGCCCTTCGAGTCCTCCGCAGTTGGCTGCGCATCCTCACTCCTGGCCAGCTGTTTGGACTTGAGCTTTTTGCTCTGCTCTGGTTGCTTTGCGGTCTTTTCATCCCCACCAGCCTGGCTGTCTTCGTCCTTCCCCTCGGTGTCCTCGGAGGGCTCGGGCGGCTCACCCGGGGGCTCACCGGTCTGCACAGTCTCACTGGAGGTTTCCTTATTGTTGTTATTTTCATCGACCAGGAAGGAGGTGACGCTCCTGTATGCTATCGGGGAGTAGACGGCGAGGGTGCGGGGGTAACGCACACCGCCCGTCCCTTTTGGGCTGTCGGGCGTCGCTGGCTCCTGCTTCCTTTTGCGCTGGAAGTCCCGCTTCATGGCCAGAAGGGTGCGCGGGCCAATGGAGCACTGCACCGAAGCGTCCTTCTTCGGGTTGACCTGCACTGCCACATCCTTGGTGTTCGCCTTCCTGAGCCTCGGGGTGAGTTTGGGGTTGATTTGGGACAAGATGGACTTCAGCTGTGCGCGCTGGTGGTTGTTGAAGGCGTCAGAAGAGTCTCCATAGTGGGAGAAGTAACTTTTGTATTTCCACCCCGCGTCTTTAGGCCGGGGGTATCTGCCCATGTAAGGATTGTAAGAAGAATAGAAGTAGGCGTCCACTGGCTCGTCACCATATGTTGCCATGTTTGTTCAACCGGCCGAGGCTTTGCTGTAACTAGTTAAATAGAGTGGAGCTCTCCATTAGACCTAATTAAGATCAGGTGTAGGACGTCTCATTACAAGAAAGGAGGGGAAAGTAGACACGTGACAGAGGTGTGCCTGTTTTGTGTTTATACGTCTTTAATTGGCACAATTTTTACAGTACAATTAAGATCAGACTGTAGAGCACAGGTAAGCTAAAGTTTTGGCACAGGTTTGTTGGGAAATCTGCACATGAATCAGTCTGATGTGTTTTTAAAATGGCTTTTAGTCTCTCTTACACACACACACACACACACACACACACACACACACACACACACACACACACACACACACACACGAAACACTGTCCTGCTTCACTAATGCAACTTTGAAGTCATGTTTCTTTTGCTTTTTTTATATCACGAAATGAGACATCGGTGGTTAGGATGAACGAGTTAAGCTCGAGCAGGACATAAAGCACCTTTTTAGCAATCATGTTAACATTTTACAGACATTACTTTTATGAATAACAGCGATGAAATGATAAATCTATCTGAACGCCTTAATCTGCTTCCCTGCGTCATAGTAGGTATGGAAGGTCATAACTGCCAAAATTAAAAAAATAAAGAAATTAGTCAATAAATGACTCAGTAATTAGATTATATGCTTTATCAGCGGTTGAAGTTTCCAGATTTATATAACAACATAGTGTAGTGGTTAACACATTCACCTTACATGTGCATGATCACCATTTTGAGACTAGGAGAACGCACCCCTACCCCCACATTTTTCCAAGGCGAGGTCACACGCTATTGGATTCCCGGTGCTATTCCAAAGCCTGGATAAATGGGAGGGTTGAGGGAGGGTGACCCATTTAGAAAAGGGAAAGCTTATGTGTGAAGGCTAGCTACGCAGGTACTTTTTAAAACAAGATTTTTCCGAGTTTGTCTTTAAAAAATGTCTCCTTACACATGAAAATGCAAAACCAATCTCGAGCGCAGTCAAGAGCATGCTAAAGCAACAGGTGGTGATATAACCCCAACCTTCAAAAAATGTTGGCCAATCAAAAGCTCATAAACAATAACACGGCACAGAGTCTGCGAGGAGCTAAAGGTGCACATCCCTGCTAATCTTAAGCAAGAAACGAATAAAACACCCGAATTTCAATCAACCAATTTAAATCATACACATGTATCAAAGATGGACGTAACCTTCGGGTCTAACAATAAAGCCAATGCAGAAGTGCCAAAATATCTGTATCCTACTTGAAGACCACCAGATGGCAATAGCTGTGGTTTCGAAAAGTCATTTAATTATATAGAGTTCTGTGGGAAAATTATTTTCTGATTTTCCTGCTGAGTTTATCGTCTCAATCACTCATTTTGGGTCATGCTAAAAATAAAAACCAAGGTCTGTTTTATAAGCAAAACAGAACGGAAGGATATCTGTGGTATGTAGCTACAAGTCAGTGAGCGTTAGCCAATGAGCATCCATTTTCACAGTCAGACCGTTATCTCTTCATATGTGGATTTTTGCAACTAAGCTGGCGATTGCAGAAACCACATCCCCAGGCTTCAAAATTGGACTTCAGAAACCAACAAGTGATGTCACGGTAGCTAGATCCATCTTTTATAATGTCTGCTTGGAGCCAACCTCACGTGGTCTTTAGAGGACCAGTATTAGATGAAGGTTTTATTACCTTTGCATTTGCTTCATTTTTCAGTCCTAGGAGTTCCCACTTGGCTAAAAATACAGTCAAATAATAGATAAATAATAAAAACAATCATTAAATAAATGTAAAATAAAAGTCAAAATGAATGAAAGTAATAAAGTGGGATAACTATAATACCAAGTGACATGTTGAAAACAATAAAAACAAGTGTTTATATTATAGCTTTATTCATTTCTGTGTTTAAGTAATAATTTAATGTCTATTAATTGTGTTACTGAGTCATATATATATGTTTTTTTGGTTTTTTTTTTTTCTTTTTTCAATTTGGCAGTTTTGGTCCTCCATAGAAGAGCAGCGATTTTTGTTTTTTTAATTATTATTTTTATGCAGATTAAACTGGAGTTGGATCAGGAGGACAAGGATCCAGCATGATAGTGTTTGGGTCGCTCACTGTCACCGCACCATATGACGGTTCAAAGTCCTCGTCTTCAAACCTTTGATAATTTATGTCCGTGTCCTCACCGTCCACCATGGGATCTGGTTTATGCAGGACCTCCCTCCTGTACATCCTGTAGGCCAGGATGAAAATCCCAGCCTCGGTTGCTTGGAACAGGGCGTAGAGCAGGGGAAACATGTACATCCCCCCCATCAGCTGAGGAGGGAAGGCCAGCTTCAGGATAGCCGTACACAGCTGCACATTCTGGCAGCCCGTCTCCAGAGACACGGCCCTGCGACTGTTGGGGGGCAAGTCAAAAAGCACTGCCAGCCCGTAACCTGCAGCGTAACCGCACAGAGGCATCAGCACAGCCACCACGTAGACAGAAGGCGGGATGGTGGAGAGCAGCTCTGGCCCCAGCATTGCTCCAGTAAGGATGAAGAGTAACACCAGGGTGAACAACAAAGACCACAGAGAAGCCTGCAAACACAAGAATTCAGCGTGAGAATTATTTTTTTTTAAATATGGCGGCAACTTTCTACAAGACATGATTTTTAAAACCAAAAAATTTCGGTTTTTTTCTTCATTTGAACCATAAAGGCAATATCCAATCTGCGCAATCAATAATAACTAATAACATCACATTTTTATGTTGCTTTATTTATTTATTGTAAACTCCTTTTTAAAAAAATTGTGTACATATAATACAAGTTTAAGATAGACGGCTTTCTTTGCACTAAGGGGACAGCATATAATTTCGTTGTGCTTGTGGTGCCCAACATAACTGTGTACTCTAACTGATGAGGCCCTCATGTGTCGCTTTTATCAGAAAGCACAGGGAGGAGCTCTTCCTGATATAGTGCCTCTGATGTCACTCTTCCAGCGGTCAGCCACCCCACTAGTAATAACTGAGACCAAGAAATACGCAATGCGCTTTTGGGCTAAGGCCCCTAACCAAAAGTACTTCGGCTGGAACGAAATGATCGAACGGATGTATAAAAGTTAATTGTTGTCAGATTACCTTTAAAACAATATCCGCCACTCGCGTGTAGCGGTACCTAAGCATAACTCCAAACCCAATGGGGATGAGGGTGCTGCAAAGTGTCAGTATGATGGCCCCAAAGGGCAGGAGGTTAACCACAGGGGTGTTGATCCAGGCTCGACTGTAGATCCAGAGGCAGAGCGGCATCAAAACGAGCGCCAGCAGAGTGGAGGATATGGTCATGATGATGCTGGGAGGAGTAGAGAAAAGAAGGAGTATGGTGGACGTGCAGCACGTACGGTGTTGGATCGTTTGAGGAAAATGTAGCAATGGCTTAAAAAATAAAAGCATGCAGAACTTAAAAGTTATTCTTAAGTGTTGTTATTTCAGTGCGTTAATGTCAGAATTTGCGCACAAAACACTGTTAACACCAAAACCCACTTCAAGTCATGCTTAGGTGAGTAAGGGGATCTACCTTAGATTCATCTCTCCGTGTACAAGCAGAGACATAATATTTGACAAGTTTCCTCCAGGACAGCAGCCACAGAGGAGCACGGCCATCGCCGCCACATCATCCAAAGAAAAGGCTAGCGCCAAAAGAAAAGCCACTAGTGGCATGATAACAAACTGACACACCAGAGCCAGGAGCACCCCGATGGGTCGGCGGATATGTTCTCCGAGCTGGCTGACCTCCACCGTGCAGCCCAGCCCCAACATAGTGAAGCAAAGTACCAGTCCGACGAACACATTGATGCCGTGACTGAGCGGGGAGTCCCAGAAGGCAGGCATCAGGTGAGAGGTTTCCGTAGGGAGAACGGCCATAAACTCGGCTACAGTCCTGTAACCGCTGCCTTGGAGAAACACGGCACGACCGACCGCTCCTAATCCCTTCATGACACCCTCCTCCGGAGAATCCACTTGCTTTAAAGTAATAAAGTCCACCGAACCAGCACTTTGCGCACTTCCACCCGGCAGACTGGAGTTCTCCATGGCGCAAAAGGAGATCAGAAAATCTCAACCGTCGCCTTGTGCCTGTATTGGCTCGTGCGTAAACGATTCCTCTAGTGACGCACTGTCACTAATAAGAAACTGCGGAAGGTCCAGTAGTCGGGGTATGTGATGGTGCCATGGTACTGATAGTCTAATGAGTCTGAGTGGTGCCACGGATTGTTTCTGGGCTAAACTGCTGGAGGAAAGACAGCACAGGGTCGTAAGTTTAAGCAAGAGTGGCTGGACCAATTAATAACTACCACAATTGCCATTTACACTGAGCTCTGCGCTGTATAGGAAGAAAGACCCCGCAAACTTCAATCTTATTATTACACTCTGACAGTTTGCCATCCTGAAAAATGAGACTCTGTTGAGTGGTTGCTGTTTCGTCTCTCGCGTGTTCTGCAGAAGGATGGAAAAGATCCTTGACATTTATGGGAAATGTAAGTTGCGCTAAGTCAGTTGCTTGTTGAGGTTGAGGAAGCAGAGACTGTGTTGAGCTTTAAATCATTGCAGCAAACTGTGAAAATCCGCCCGCCCTTTTCTTCCCCCCCCGTTTTTTTGGTCATGCTGGTCGCATTACGCACGAGTCCTCACCTCAAACGTTACGTTGCGCATAAGTCTTTTGGTTCAGTAGATTATTATTATTAAAATCAGACTTCAGCGTTTGACCTCAAACAAGAACTTGGGAACTCTGATTAGTGTTTTATAAATACCAACCTGAAAGCATATATATCACAGTGAATTTGTATATATATTGGTCAGATCAGCTGGAATTGAAATAATTCAGTTGCTCCCAAAAGTACTCCTGGTGGAGTCTGATATATTTCTTACGTGATTAAAGCGGGCTCAAGCTCACTCCCACATATATTTTCATTCTTGAATTCAAATAAGGTAGACATGTGTGATTCATAAACATTAAAAAACATTTTGCTGTGGCGCATTGAGCCTAAAATGCATGATGCCACGGAGCAAACCACACAGTTCCCACACCTCAACCTACAGGACTGAAAAGATTCCCTGGGTGCCAGAAAGCACAGGACACACCCAGAGGTCCTTGGTCTTTAATGGGCAGAGCAGTTACACAATATTACAGCTAATAGGATGAATATTGTTGCTGAATCTGCTTTTTATAAACCTGAAGCCTATATTTATTATTAAATTTCAATTCCTGTAATACATAATATTTTTTATGTTGAAATCTTTTATCCATCAATATGACAAAGAAAATCTTTTAACAGAAATCCTAAATATGAGTGAGGTAAAACTTGTACATGGTAAATGGTTTGATCGTTGCTTATTTTAAACCTTTGTTGTGTAGACGGCATAGGCAGCACCGGTGAAATATTGTGGTCTGCTGCTGTGACAGTGTGTTCTCCACAATAATGGTTTATCTTATTCAGCATCACTCATATGAACTGTCTTTGTTCTGTGTGTCTGCAGCACACAGGAAATGATCCTGAGTGAATCTAGCACACGAAGATGAGAGTCTGGAAAAAATAAATTCACTCTTCGGAGCTGAAGAGGGGACAGAACAGTCGGTGACTCAGGCTTTCAATCTCCTCCCCTTCCCAGAGAAACACACCATGTCCCCTCCTCAGCAGCAGCGGGTGACTCCAGGTACGTAACGCTGTCTCTGTGCAGAATACATAATGTGTCCCCATCAGCAGCTGGACATAGTGTATGAGACTAAAACAAAAGTACAGTACAAAATGAATAAATACTGTAATTGATTACAGCTGACAAGAGCAAGGAACAGTGCAAGCAAATTGTTTTGTTGTTGTTGTTTGTTTTTTTCTTTTAGAAAATATAAATGTTATAGTAAAGTGAGAGCACACAGAGACAGATTTACATACCCAGAAATAATTTTGACACAATATATGAGTGTACTCTATTAAACCTATTAAAACCATGGAGGGAAAAAAAAGAGCCTGTATGAATGTGGCAAGTTGTATAAAATGCTTTGAGTGCTCAGATACTACAGTGCTATATAAGATGTGTTTTTTATGGCAGTTTTAAGTAAAAATCTAAATAAATAACATAAAAATATTCCCTTATGTACCTTCTTCTGGGTCTTGGTGCACACGCTCAGTTCATCCTCTGAAAAACATTACCTGATCTCAATTTCGGGCCCCTTAGTACTGACCACAGTGAACCATCTTCAGATGGCTGCTCCCCGCTGGATAACATGCCATATTGCAGAAGTGGTTTCTTGAACATGATGATGAGTTCACTGCCTCCGCAGTCACTTTATTAATTTTTTTAGATACATTAAAGTGTCTGCTCAGTGTACATGTGGTTTAAAAAAACTGCCCTTAAATGTGTACAAACTCCACAGTGTGCAGCTTGTACACTTTGTGTTTACAAACAGTTTTATAGTTCCAAATTAGCAAAACTGCAAACAAGAAAAAGGAAAAGCTACATGTAAAAATACTTTTGAGCTTTTATTTGAAATGTGACTTTACACAGGGAAACCGAATGTCATGTTTGTGGATATAAAAAAAATTTCAATAACAAAACCTGTCACACAAAAGGTGTGGTATGTCTTTTTGCAACATTCGTCCTACAGCTTCCCACTGAATCTGAGCTTTAACAGAGGCACCTCTCTCTTTAATAAATAGTTTCATTTACAGAGCGAGTAATTAGATATAAATACAAAGGCGCGTTTAAAACATTTTTTTAAAGCAATTATAAATGTGTTGATTCTATTTAAAAAAAACAAACAGGCAACAAGCAAATCAATCAAGCAATCAGATGCAAAATTGCAAACAATGTTGGCGAAACCAAAAACTGGCACCAAGAAAAAAGAAAACATACAAACAAAATGATGTTCAAACTTTAAATTATAGGCACTAGTTTAAGAACACCCACCACATCAATCACCGGTACAGCTTCCCGAACACTGGCATGCCTTTTGATTCATTCTCATAGCATAAGAGGTAAAAGCCAATCAAAACCTAAAATGTATTCAAGACAGATTTTCATCATATTCCTTTTTTTCATGGTATGAATGATACACACTGATACATCTCTTATGGGGATTTGATAAACAATATCAAAGTTTCCTTGTTTTCATTGGCTGAATGGGTGAACAGGGACAAAACAGCTCTTTCAGGCTATTTTTCTCAACATCTTTTTTTAAATCAGACATCAGTAAAAACTCAGATCTAATGTTAACCTGGGGCCAGTTTCACAAAGAGATCTGAGACTCCAGTGTGCGAGGGTCTAAAATGTGCTCTTTGGCTGCCATATTTCTGCAACAGAGTCAATTAGCAGCTCAGGTCCAGTGATAAAAGTCCCAAATGAAAGGGCTTTTAACTTTAAGTGCTTACTTGAAGTGCTGTGTTTCTATTAAAAGCACAATTCAGTAGCTCAGAGTGGATCCCAAATTGAAGCTTGGTCTTGCAGCGGAAAGAGGACTATTATGAACAATTATAAATGAAATGCCTGCTATTGTCTGCAGGTAAGATAAATAAAAGCCCGGGTCACCAATGTGTAATCTAGTCTGAATTTCACAAAAAGAACCACTGACTTTTATTTAAAGGTACTTTTTGTAGTTATCTGCATAATCTAATTATAACTTTCACCAGCAGGGGGCAGCACATTCATGTTTCTGTTCCATTTTTAAACTTGATAGTTCTCTTTACCCTTCCCTATTTATACAAGAAGCTTCCCTTTTTCCCAAAACACCAGAGCAAATAAGCACGTGTTCCTCCTAATGATTAGTCAGGTTTAGGAAACGTTACGATGAGTCACTGCACCATCTTGTGGTGCAAAATTGTACTGCGCAAAAGTACAGAATGGCCCAGATTGAGCTCTTAAACATAATTCAAAGGCAATGTGGACATAAAGTTAGAACGATTGTTTCTTCTTCTTCTGACAGCTTTGGTTCATTTTTATTGTTTTGAACCACTAATAAAAACAAAGATTTACAAAAAAGTACCTTTAGGTCAAAAGCATCACCATTCTCCAGGGCTAACTTCAAATTATGTATTCACTCAGCGACACTGCTGATAAAATGATGTTCAACCAGAATTAGTCGTTGCTTCTTGTTTAAAAATAGTCCAGGACAAACTGGTTTATGTCGCCAAGCAGAAAGCTGCTGGGCTGGGGAAAAAAATTGCAGTTCACTGAGTTGCAACTCACTAGAGACTCCTGTTTTAAAATAACCAGCAAGTTTTTTTTTATTAGTCAGTTTTATTGTTATCTTTAATTTTATTTAATGTGTTTTGGTATTTTTTGAAATTTTATTTATGTATTTTTTTTTTTTCCGTCTTGGAAAGCACTTTGGTGAACCATGTGTTTTGGTTGTTTTTTTTTGTTTTGGTTTGTTTACGCATAAAGTTGCACAAACAGCTACAGCTTAGTTTTAGTCTCCTGGGGTCTTCCCCCCCACCCCCCAATTTAACTCGCTAATTTAAACTAAATTAAAATATGGGTGTTGAATCCTGACACATGCACGTGGAGCAGACTGCACATTTGCTAATCAGAGTCATTGAACTGAACCTACCTGCTGTTTGTAGCTTTAGTGCATTTTAAAATTCTAGTGTTGAATTACTCTGTTCCTCCTCTCTGAAGCAGCAGGTATATCTGTGAGCTGTACCGGTGCAGTTTATGAATGCTAGCATTAGCTGTCAGCTTACCAAAAATCCATCTTTTACACACGGTTTTAGAACTGAGTCATCTTTGTGAGACTGGCCCCTGTTCTTGAACAGACCACTTTAAGCACTTAAGTGGAAAAGTATAATCTTGGCAAAACTGTGGTACGAGTCAGAACTGAGGCTTTGGCCGGGATGTCTTTAATCACCCGGTTTGACACTTTAAAAACAAAAACAAACAAACAAACAAAAAAAGGCTTTGGAAAGTTAGCTTTGCAGTTGAGGTTCAAAACGTACATTTTAAACAACTGAAATTTTAAAACAAAATACTGATATGGATGTTTGGATGTACACTTCTTAAATAATTTTGAATAAATAATTTTCCAAAACAAACTTGTGCATACATTCTGGCTGATTTTACAAAGAGGAAAGATTCTTAAATGTCAAACCCACACAAGAGGTGCTTTCACTGTTTCAAGACATCAACAATTCTCTAACGTTACGGGACAGTTCACCTGCACAGCATCATCATAGAGATCGCTCACCGACATCTGTTAAACACAGAGCATAAAGAGAGAAATGCGTGGAAACATTTCAACCTGAGGGAAGTGAAAGAAGAACAGGGGGGAGGAGGGGGAGGAGGAGGGGGAGGGAGGAAAGCTGGGCATGTGGAGATATGGACAGTCTCACGGATGACTGCAGTTGAACCAAAGGCAGGTGACGTGTCCTCTGATGGGGCGCTGGAGTCGGGCTGGTTTCTTTGGCATCTTCTGGGCTGTCTGCACTACATGCCTGACCCCTCCAGAGCCAGTCCCCACAGAGAGACACAATGAGAGGCCCTCTTTGACACAATGTGGACTCTGTCCTCTCCCTTTTTCTTTTTTAAACTCTTAATCAAATGCATTTTTGGGGGCTTG